CACCGTTCTGTTAGTGACCCTAGTTTACATCATTCTCCAGTGTTTTTAATTATAATTTTTTTTTTTGGGGAGGGGGGGGGGGGGGACTTCTACTTCGCTCAATTACATGTATGACCAAAGTATTTCTGTAACACAGAAACGATTCTGTCTTTGACAGTCTTTGATGATTAGATACTGAACGGTGTCATCAACCCCCCCCCCCCCCCCCCCAAACCCTTTTTTTTTTTTTTTTTGTAAACGTGGAAATCGTGCTTATTGCAGTGACATAAATAAAGTTCAACTCAACTACATTCTTTCTCAGTTGAGTATATAACTAATGTTGTAGAATGTACACAATAAATGATGCAATGGACTTTAGCTGTCTTCTTCTTCGTTCTTGTTTTCTCTAGACCAGTGGCTCTCAACATTACTAATGCCGCGACCCTTTGATACGGTTTATGTTGTGGCCACCCCCTAACCATACAATTATTTTTGTTGCTACTTCATAACTTTAATGAATATGTGTTTGGCGATGGTCTTTGGTGACCACTGTGAAAGGGTCGCTAGACCCACACACGAAAAAAGGTCGCGACCCACAGGTTGAGAACCCATTCTCTAAACTATTATTTGCCGTTCATGGTCAAGTTTCGAAGAGGGACTTCTTGAGGTAAAATCCTTGTTGTGTGTTACCTAAATGCTGGTATTCATAGCATCATATAATTTGTATCTATCCCTCTCTTGCATAGGCGACCTTAGGATCTGCTTCCATTGTATATGATTGACACGGCTGTCCTTTCTGTCAAAACCATTGTATATGTTGTCTCTAGATGTAGTTTAGCAATGGTGGCGTTCCACCTTGTTTAATTGTATTGTTCTTTCAGATCCAAGCTCTTCTTGTTACATTATGATCCGTCGTAGACGCTTCATTTCTGTTGTTTGAATCTGTCCTTTGTTAGCAGTCTGTCTGCATATGTCGTTGTATAAACTGTTACCGGCACCTTTAAGTCTTTGCAGTCGGTAGTGTTATATTGTACTACGATGAGACATGTGACTCATAGCCTATGGTGATGGCGAGTGTGACTAGCAAGGCCCGCCTGCGTATAGAAGTCTTCCACAATTATAGCATTGGATTTCAGGACCGTGGTTGCCATCATCTGTTATTGCTCCTGTCCGTAACACAAAGCCTGGGCAGTCACGTAGAGAACATACGTTGTCCATGCACCATGATCTCTCGCTCACCTCGATCGACATGCCTTGTTTATTTCAAATTAAAGGTAACACCAGTACGTTTATTCAATAAACACAGACACACAAAGACACACACAAACACACACAAATACCCACAGACACACACAAACACACACAGACACACACAAACACACACAGACACACACAAACACACACAGACACACACAAACACCCACAGACACACACAGACACACACAAACACACACAGACACCCACAAACACACACAGACACACACAAACACACACAAACACACACAGACACACACAAACACACACAGACACACACAAACACACACAGACACACACAGACACACACAAACACACACAGACACACACAAACACACACAGACACACACAGACACACACAGACACACACAGACACACACAGACACACACAAACACACACAACACACACAAACACACACAGACACACACAGACACACACAGACACACACAAACACACACAAACACACACAAACACACACAGACACACACAAACACACACAAACACACACAAACACACACAAACACACACAGACACACACAGACACACACAGACACACACAAACACACACAGACACACACAAACACACACAGACACACACAGACACACACAAGACATGGAGAAGGGAGCTAGAGAGAGAACTTAAAAAGATAGGCAGACATGACATGGGGAGAGCAGCATGCAATAGAGGAGGATAGAACGACTTAGCGTCACTTCGATAAGGGCTTACGCTCCATTCGGGGATAGATGGCAGAAGAGAGAAAATCATATTGGTTGGCCACTGTGAATTAGGTGTTGCAAATGCGGTCTGTTATTCCGAAATACCCGGTTCGACCCGGACTGCGAGCGATTTGGCAGCAGATATTCTTGCTGTGTTTTCGATAATAGTATCGATATCTGACTGTTCAATTTTTAGTGGCAAACTACCGAAGGTAAAAAATGCCAAGTGAAATTACGAACAGCCACACAATTGCTGGAGATGGTTCTGCAACGTCCTGTAAAGGACAAGCAAGTAACTTTAAACAAACATGACTAAACTGTGAGTTCCAAACAGCAACAGTCCAGAAGTAACCAGCTGATTAACACACGTCTTCGGCATTGTTCAAGGGCTGTCACATTTCGTTTACCCGGTTTGCGTCTGTACTAGAAAGAGTTAATGTTTGCCTTTGTCATCCAAGCCCGAGATCTTTGCATACTTTTGTTAAACGTGTGTGCTCAAGCTTGTTGAAAACACAAACATTGGATCAAGAATTGTTGCTTGTCCTACTTTCTCCGTTACCTAGGTGTTACATCTTTCCTCTGACAGTAGTACATTCATTATAACAATTATACGTGCAGGACAGAGGGAAAAACATGGTATGATAGACTCATAGATGGAGGGTTGTCTGAGGACTAAACAAATTCAACTGAATCAAAAAGTGAGGACAAGTTGCTGGCGTTGGATAGGACACACTCAGAAAGCCTGATATAACCACGGCCAAAGTCGTATTTGCCAGCCGAAAGTGCACACTTTCCCACCTAATTGAGAACTGCTTTGGTGAGCACAAAGAAGATGAAAGAAAGGAAGCAAATAATCATACATAAAATAAGACACATAAGAAAGACAAGTATTCAAGAAAAACAGACAAACAAATCCAAAATTTTTTTTTTAAATGAGGTAAAAGAAGAAGAATAAGGGTATAGTGATAGTGGCAGAGACGCAGCCAGACAGAAAAACACAAAACATAAAACTTACATAATATAAACAGACCACAGGTTGTAAGAAAATCCCTGTTTATTACAATATTGCTACAGTAATTTGAACACAAAATAAAGTTGTAAAGAAACACTCAAACGTAAATTTATTTATAGCGTATGAATAATAATAAAAGAAGTACACATGCTAAAAAAAAAAAATAAGCATAATAAAGTCAAGAAAACTTTTGACTATGGTTAGTTGCAGTAAGTGTAAAACTTCAAGTTGTATAATTTACGATCGCGCAGTACCGCTTTAATCTTTCACATGTGATTGCACACTTCCGTGTGTTTGGGAACGTGTATGTTAAACACGTACTTAAAAGGACATTAATTATGTATGCTAATGAATTCACTATAAATTGACCTCGTGGAATTACTTGTCCTTCGGTGATTTTGCTGAATATTCATGTCACTAATAAAAGGGAATAATGCTTTCTCCATCTGACGTGTAGATTTGCTTTTTCAGCATTTTTTTCAATTTCAGGCGGTGACGACACAAACTGTGAAAATGCGTTCAGGTCTTTTCATTGCTTTTTTTTTTTTTATAAAGGTCAAGAAACGCTTATGTTGGGTAATGGCTATTGTTGATTAACCGTAGTTCTGTTGAGTGATAATGTGCGTGTTAGATTTACTAAATTATCGCACCTTGCAAAAATATTGTATTTAGGAAATTCGAGAGAAAACCTATTTGCAGATTTTAAAGAAAACATAACGAAGACATCCTTTAAAGCTTTATATGGCCAAATGTCCGTTTTTCTTGGAGGGGCCTCAGTTAAGTGTTTTCCTGTAGTCTTGTTTTTAAATGTAAAATTCTCCATGTGCTGATGAAGGCTTTATATCCGAAAAGTTTACTTGTCGGTGACGGTGACAATGTGAAGCTGACTAGTTGCACTTTTAGTTTGGTTTAATATTTTTTTTTAAATTAACAGCAACATCATCATAATTAGGTGCATTGCCAACTGGCGTTGTCAATCACGTCTCTCCCCAATCTGCGATACGCAACTGCGTGTAACAGTTCGAGTGTTGACACCTCTCCATGCCATAACAAATGGCTGTCAAGAATTCTTAGGCGCTGTCTTCCTCTGTCTCTCTTTCCACAAATCTTTCCAATGGTCACAACACGATCCATTTTCCCTCTTCTGATAATAAGATTTTAGAAAATGACGACTACCTCTTTCTGATGTTTGTATTTGAGGCCTAACCTCTTTCAAAACATATTAGCCACTCTTCGTAGCTGTCCAAGGTATTCTAATTCATCTGTACAACCACATTTCTGAGGCTTCAAGATATTGTTCGGCGTGTTTACTAACTGTCCAGGATTCACAGTCATATGTTAAGAACGGGCTCTCTTAGCTGACACATGGAACTGAATTATTCACAGTCAGCTGATTGGTGAAACATTGTGTGGAAGCAGATGCAAATCAAAATGACCATGTTTTAAAACAAATTAACTGACAAAGAAAAACTGATTGCCTGTATCAGAAGGCAGTCCACATTCTTTGGCTACATCGTAGGTATAAAAAACAAAACTACCAACAGAGAGGATTTATAATAGTTTGGCACCGTGGCATGACACACGTATATCAGAAGTGACTGGCAATACACAATACAGGTGGACTGGAACAAAGATGATGACAATGCCACATTATATGGGCCATAAGAAGAAGAAGAAGAAGAAGCAGGGAGATAAGGATATAGTGGATGATGAACTTGGGAGAAAGAGAAGAATACAGATTGATATACTCCTACGTACATTTTTAATGAGATCCTATGCTATATTCCAATCCCATCAGCGCGCCATTAGAAGTCTTTTCACGTCCCACACTTGACACGCGCTCCGTAGGTTACTGACGCCTAATCTATACGTCTACTAGCATCTCATGATATCCGTATTGTCAACAGTAAGCAATGAAAAAAAAGTATCACACTGATTCGTCTACCTATCACAGCCAAGAGTGAATCTTGATCTCACCTCAGCGTCGAAGAGAGTTCCTCGGTCGGAATTATTCAGTCAGTATATCGCTAACTGCCATCAGTCAGTGTGCATCATTTGTCTGTCCCTGTTTTAGATAGTGAAGAAAATGTTGGATTAGAACAGTTGTTCTCTACCTTCTGTATGCCGCCACCCTTTAATACAGTAAACATAACCATAAAATTATTTTCGTTGCTACTTCATAACATCAGTGAATATGTGTGTTTCGATGGTCTTAGGCGAGCCTGTGAAAAAGTCGTAGGACCCCATGCCCCTCCGTAAAAGGGTCGAGACCCACAGGTTGAGGACCACTGGATTAGAAGAAAGAATGGTTTTACATGGAACTAAAGACTACTAGTAAAGCCGGGCACCAGAATGTCAGGTATATTTTACAGGTCAATACTAATCTGTTTTCAACTAGGCAAATCAACACTTGCTTGAAGTGTCAAAATAATCAAATGAGTCAACGCATTGTCGCTCTGCCAAGATAAGTCAACTCTTACTCCCTATTGTTACTATAAGAAGACACGTCAACTGGTGTCCCTGTAACTGTGACAAGATGAGTAAACACCATATGTAGTGTTTCAATGACCAAATACTTATCTTTGATGTCACTGTTATAAGTTGTCTACTCTCCGTATTGTCACTTTGACGAAATAAATCGAATCCTGTGCGTACTGTCACTATGACAAGACAACTCCTGTCCCTACTGGCACCATGACAAGACTTCTCACGTTTATACTGTCACCATGACAAAGCAATTTTTGTCCATACTGTCACTATGACAAGACAACTCCTGTCCTTACTGTCACTATGACAAGACAACTCCTGTCCGTAGTGTCATTAAGACAAGACACTTATGTCCATATTGTCACCATGACAAGATAACTCCTGTCCGTACTGTCACTAATATAAGGCAACTTTCGTCTTAACTGTCATTATGACAAGATAAACTAACTCGTGTTTGTTTAATGTGACAGGATATGTCACTTCCTGCTGATTTTTTAATGTAACAATGACGCGTTAAGACATGTCTCGTTAATATCACTATGATTAACATAATCGCATAACAGTTAATGAATTTGTGGTTTGAAATGTAAGTAATCCTATAACTTAACTGAATTTAAGGTTTGAAATGTTAGCATTCAACATATTCTAGGTTACATAATTTGAGGTTTGAAATTTTAACCCTCTACTTATACTAAGTTACACCATTTGAGACTTAAAATGTTAGCCCTAAACATATTCTAGGCTACAACATACGATTTGAAATGTTACCATTTCCCATACTCTAGGCTACAACATTTAAGATTCGAAGTGTTAGTATTTTACATATACAAGGTTACAACATTTGAGGTTTCAGTTTTAGCCTACACAGTTCGAGGTTTGAAACGTTAGCCCTTTACAAATTCTAAGCTACAACATTTGAGGTTTGAATTGTTAGTCCTTCACATAATCTAGGCTGCTATGTGTGAGTTTTGAAATGTTAGTCCTTCAGGTATTTTAGACTACAACATTTGAGATTTGAAATGTTAGCATTTCACATTTCTAGGCTACAACGTTTGAGGTCTGAAATGTTAGCCCTTCCCATATTTTATGTTACAACATTTGAGATTTGAAATTTTAGACCTTCACATATTCTACGCTACAACATTTAAGGTTTGAAATATTAGTCCTTCACATATTCTAGGCTACAACGTTTGACGTTTGAAATGTTAGCATTGTCCATAATCTAAACTACAACATTTGAGGTTTGAAATGCTAGCATTTCACATATTCTAGGCTACAACATTTGAGGTTTGAAATACTAGCATTTCACATATTCTAGGCTAAAAGATTTGAGGTTTGAAATGTTAGCATTTCACATATTCTAGGCTACAACATTTGAGGTTTGAAATACTAGCATTTCACATATTCTAGGCTAAAAGATTTGAGGTTTGAAATGTTAGCATTTCACATATTCTAGGCTACAACATTTGAGGTTTGAAATGCTAGCATTTCACATATTCTAGGCTACAACATTTTAGGTTTGAAATGTTAGCATTTCACATATTCTAGGCTACAACATTTGAGGTTTGAAATATTAGTCCTTTACATATTCTAGACTACAACATTTAAGATCTGAAAGGTTTCAAATGTTAGCATTTCACCTATTTTAGGCTACAAAATTTGAGGTTTAAAATGTCAGTCCTTCAGTAATTATAGCCTACAACATTGTAAGTGGGTTGGTTAGGTGGGCCAGTTGCCGCGCGCGCCGTATGTTCTTTCCAGATATGTTTCAGAACATTCTGGAAAGCTACTCATCATTATTAGGTTCGGTCTATCTCAGAATTGTCGGCTCTGTGGCTAAGTCGATACGAACTCTTCGTAATGCAGGGATGCCGGGTTCGATTCCAGCTGCGGACCATGCGCCTTGCGTTGGTTTCGACAGTGGTATTAAGAAAGCCGACCGTCCAGAGGCAATGATAAACTACTGGACGTAGAAAAACCCCACAACAGCCAGGAGCTGTTGGGGTTGGTTTTGCAACGTCCTGAAAAGGATACGTAACTTACCTAACCTATCCCAGAATCAAGGCAATAGGGAACATTACCGACTTCTGGAAACCGAACATAGGCCACTGTCTCAGCAGGCACATGCTCTAACTACAATGCCACTGTGGCTGTATCCTCGTGACAACCAGCCATCTGCTGTAATTAAACTTAGGATGTAAATTTTTGTCTGGAAGGGCATCCTAATAAAAAAAAATACGCTGAAGTCAGCGGTACCGGACCAAAAGGTGCAGACAGAAGAGAAAGGTGTGACATCTGAACCAGAAATCTGTGGCACACAGAGCCGGATTAACCATTGAGCACACTAAGCACGTGCTTGAGCATCACAAATGGAGGGGAACACCATCGACAGAGGCAATAGCCTTGGAGCTGAATGTTTGTTTTCTCTGTTGAAGTATATTTTAAAACAAATCCCATCAGAGCAACAAATGCAATAAGGCAGACTCAAAGCCTTATCTCTATTAAATATAGCAGCAGATGTGTTACATGCGGTTTCGAAAAATGGCCAGATATTTATTTCGGTGCTTGTATGCTAAAAAGACAACTAGCCAAATAGACCCTTTTTTAAACAAAGAAATTGAACACAGTAATAGGTACTACAGTTAAACGGTATACCTCATGTCCCTTAGTTTAGCTTGCCTGTTGAGTTCTTCCACAACAGCGGCGTGGGCGGCGTTCATCAAAGCCGCGTGCTTCTCCTGAAGATGATCAGGTATCATCAGTGGTTTATGTCTAAATTAACACCAAAAAATTATGATGCAATGCTGCTAAGCTACGCTAGATATGCCACTTGACGTATACGCAGAGAGTGTATTTAAGTATAAAAGTGGACTATCGTCATTGCGTACTGCCTAAACCCACCGATCTCAGCTTAAGAATGACCATGAGCTTGGGAATAATCTCTTGAAGGGCCGGTACAGAAAGAGGGTGCTCAAATGTTACATAGAACCTGTTCTGCTGTATGGCAGCGAATCTTGGAATGTCACTAAACACATTAAGAAGAATTTGGAAGCAACAGAAATGTCGTTTCTGAGACGAATGTTACGGATACCTTGGATGGCCACAGTAACTAGCTTGAAAGAGGCTAATGAAAGTATATCTCTATATACAACAAGAAAGAGACAAACACTGTTCTTTAGTCACATAATGAGAACAGAGACATTGGAGAATATCGTCACAACTAGAAAGATCAGTGGAAAAAGGGGTAGAGACATACCAAGAGAGATGATGCTGGATATGCTGAAACGATGACATGGAAGGATATCATCAAGAGAGCTTTTCCAGGCAACCAGGGATCGTGATCTATGGAGACGCATGAGCGCTCACAAAAGTTGACAGGGAACATGATGATGATAGCCGGTACACAATTCCCAAGTCTTGCAACCATCAGCTTGATTGCGGTTTGTCCACCCATGTCAACTCGGCTGCCTTGCCGAGATATGTAATGGGTTTTAAACAATTGAAGTGACCCCCCCCCCCCCACTTTGTTAGATATACATAATGAATCTTTAATGGTTACGAATCAACAGAAATGGCAATTTGTAAAGTAAAAGTAAAGTACCCTTTCCACACCTTTAGGCGTATAGGGCATATAGGGCTAGACCTATATTTTTATAGACCAACGGCACAAGATGGGCGATGTAGTCAGCGTCACGCCGGCCGCCTCTACTTCCTGGGACTGCACCCGGTACCCACTCAAGGCTATGTCGACCTGGGAGCCAAGGTCATTTTTTAAAGAAAAGTCCGGCTCCGCCAGGGAGCGAACCCACGACCTTCCGATCCGCGGCGCGCGTCTAGCCGCTCTGCCACGGTGACTCCCTAATGGCAGTTTGAGCAGAATTGAAATAAAACCTATGATTTAATTATAAGAAAAGGTACCTTCATCTTATTGTTTTCCGCGTTCACCGACTGTACTCTCCAGTGGCAACTCCTGGTTGTTCGCCCACATCTAAACTGTGCCATTGCTTTATCTAATGTGTGGTCTTTTCCTTGCTTTGTCCTCAGTATATTTGTTTAACTTGTGCCTCTGTGGCAGTTGCTGGCGGGATGCTGACCACATCAGCCACCAAGTGCCGATAGGTCTTTAAAAATATATGTCCAGCCCTATATTGACAATACGCCTAGAGGCGTGGAAAAGGGACCTTTACTTTACTCTGTGGCAGTTGGTACTAAGACATTTTTTCCACATCACCAAACCATTTGATATGTTGTTCTTTAATTAAATGATGGTCGGTTTTGCTTTAATTAAATGATGGTCGGTTTTGGTCCGTTTTCATCTAATGTCCCAAGTTTCATTTTATATTTTCCGGTTTCTCCGGCAGCTGTTCTAAGACACACGATGTCTATTGTTATAATTTCACATTCACTAATGACAGTAAGGGTATATGATTGACACTTAACAATGTTATGTTTTAGCTTTTTGTAAAAGAGCCAAGAATGAAATTGATATCAGAATTAGTAGGACTGGTTAAAACAAACCTTAATATCCTCCATTTTAGCTCGGCGATCTAGTTCTTTCTCTACCGACTGACGTATCATTCCCGTAAATGAATTCAATGTTCCCTGTGGAATGCATCAACATGTTCATGTGTGATGGCCTTTACACATGGGGATGTAAGCTATTACGATTATTACAAACTATCCCCAACACTGAAATGACACATTGGAAGGGGAGTCCTTGTGCCTGAGTGGTTAAGCTTTTTGCTTCGAGCTCTGATGGTACCTTGGTTCGTTTCATAGATTACTTCATTTGGTTCACGGTTTTTACATTTACGGAAATCCCTGATAAGCGTCTCTTAAGCTAAGGCGTTCTTGCTTTGTGGGGCTTTCTCAGCCGGAAACTGGCAGTTCTGTGGAGAAAGAGCAACCCAAATGAAATAAAACCTAGTGCAATTAGGTCGATTCTCTCGATGTTGAATCTTTCTGCTGGTATTACGAGGTGGACTAGAAGACATAGGTAATTTGCCTTCCTTAAGGTTGAAGTCAGCAGGATTAACACATCAAGGATAAGAATCAAACAAGTACACATCAGGGAAACGTTGTCCTTTGAATTATGTAAACTCCAGCGGAAAGTTCTGGTTGTTCGTCCACCTCTGGACTTTAGTCATGCTGCCGAATATGAATGTGGCGTGCACAGATGGTTTACAGATCCGACTGTGTATAAAGCCTCCCAATTATTCGACTGTTATTTTAAAAAAATCCCTTTGTGATATGCAATTTTTATTATTTGAAGCCCTACTCTGTCTCTTGCCAGGGGCCGCAATATAGCCCGGCCATAAATATGGTCTAATGGCTGAACGCGGTTTCTGGGACCTCTCCACGGGTGATCCTCATCCACATGGTGGCATATTGTGTCATCATATGTTTATCGCTTGTGTGATGTCCTGGTGGGGTAAAAGAAGATAGGTAGAAAGATAGACTGTTATTTCATACTTATTGGGAACGAAAGTTTAGTAAACCTGCTCATTGTGTCTGATTACTTGATGTATAGTACATCAACTCATTCTATCTGATTACTTGATGTATAGTACATCAACTCATTCTATCTGATTACTTGATGTATAGTACATCAACTCATTCTATCTGATTACTTGATGTATAGTACATCAACTCATTCTATCTGATTACTTGATGTATAGTACATCAACTCATTCTAGCAGAACACTTGTTAGGTATTTCCTTCTCATAGCATTATAATTTGAACTTCTCCCTTTAAGCCAGTAAAACGGATGTACACGCAAAACTCAGGTCAAGGTAAAAGCCAAAAGTCCATTTTGGACGAACAACCGCGACTTACCGCCGGAATTCACAGCCGGTGAACAAGAAGAAGAAGAAGAACTTCTCCCAACTCACTCATTGACTCTTTGCAATAGAACTTCTCGGGATAAAATAATTACAGGATGGCATTGTCATATTCAACATCTCCTTCTGCGTTCGCCCGTAAAAAGACAGTCAGCAGGATGTGTTGTAGTTTACAGCTAGGCTGCGATCTCTGCGACTTTGGGCTCAAAATCTTCGAATCTAGCCAATCTTCAGTTAGCCGCATTTTACTATATTTTTTAATGGCCAGTTGGTTTATTTTCCTCACTCTTTTTATAAATGAGGCCTCAAAAAATACACAAGGCGCTTACAGAGTTGACACCTGTAATAAATATTTCTTATGTAAAATCAAAGAGTCGTAGAGCATAAACTGTACTTACCCCACGTTTGACCAGTGGAGCCAAAGACTGGTTGAGCTTCTTCAGCTGTTGGTGTAACTCGGCCAATTTCCACCCTTCGCTGAGTCGTTGTTTCTTTTCTTCATACATCTCGGCTTGTGTTTTCCTCACTTCATTTCTGCAGAAAGCAATGTTGTATACAGAAAAACGCATCTCAAAAGCTTCCACATAATTCAAAACTAATCAGTTAAGTTACCATGATTCACTCTCGTACATCACGATTGGTTGTGTATAATTCTCAAGACCGTTTTCTTACCATCACTGACAATGACAGAATACACTTTCCAGCAGAATTCTCATATTTGTGGGGCTTATTCTCTACGTAACGTCTTTAATATGAGTTACATTTACTGTTATCGAGGTGTTCGTATTGTTTTACACATGAACATGATTCAAATACATAATCATCTCCCGGTTTTCTTCTTCTTCTTCTTCTTCTTCTTCTTCTTCTTCTTCTTCTTCTTCTTCTTCTTCTTCTTCTTCTTCTTCTTCTCCTTCTTCTTCTTCTTCTTCTTCTTCTTCTTCTTCTTCTTCTTCTTCTTCTTCTTCTTCTTCTTCTTCTTCTTCTTCTTCTTCTTCTTCTTCTTCTTCTTCTTCTTCTTCTTCTTCTTCTTCTTCTTCTTCTTCTTCTTCTTCTTCTTCTTCTTCTTCTTTTTCGTTTGCCTTTCTAGCCCCAAGTGGAGCATATACCTCAACCAAACGAAGCCAAGTCGTATCTCGGTTTTACCGACTCCTATTTAAGGGATATCGGAAGCAACAGACTGAATGAGACGCAGTTAATTTTGTTAAGATCCATCCCGGCTATTGTTGGTGCCTTAATACAACCTAACGTTTGACGGGGGTTTCTAGGACTTGTGCCCGGTACTCATCCGACAGGTGGCACTTCGTGTCACCAGATGTTTATCACTTTTTACGCGGTCCTGGTGGAATGGAACGACATTCACTCAACGGATCGAATCTAGAGCAACCGATTCTGGAGTATATCAGTTTGCTGGAGTTTTATATATTTCCGCCTCGATAATTTAGGACCGTTATTCGGAGAATAGCCGAGGTATACCTGTATTTAATGGATTAATGTTAGAAACTAGCCATGTCACAAAATGATAGTTTACCGGCACAGGGTAAAAGATCACTTACATATCTGCACTGAGACCCGTGATAGTGTAGTGGTTAGATGCTTGCCTGTCGGACTGAAGGTGTTGGGTTCGAATCAATATTGTGGTGAATTAAAATAAAAAATAGTCTCCTCAGTTAGTCCAGCCTAAAATGTGTACCAGGAAATGACGTGTGAAATAACGAGCTATCGGCGGATGTTAATAACAATATTTATCCAGGACTGATTGGTATTTGTGTGTGTGTGCGCGCGTGCGTGCGTATAGTGTGTGTTTGTGTGTGCGTGCGTGTGGTGTGTGTATGTGTGTAGAAGATCCAGAACATTCGGTCAGATCCGCCAGTAGCGTGAGAAGGGACGTTCCCCCCACCCCACTTTTTTTTTTTAAATTTTTTAAAACTTACCTGTACAGGGTCAGGAACCGCAACGTCTCCGACTGAGATTTTGTTAGTTTCTGTAATTGGTCTGCTGCTGTTTTTCTGAACAAATTCCTCCTTGTCTGAAACATATATTTAGGGTGGTTCATTCAACAGACTGCAGAACGGTGGTGTTTACTTCTACGGCACCAAATTATGAGTCACATCGGTTGTTGTAAAATAGTTATTCAAAGACATCTGTTACTAAATTATCTTTCTTTACATGCATTTGAAGTATAGATGCCCTAGTGGTTAGATAGAGCTTGTCCAGCTAGAGATCGGGTTCCATTCTTCACAATGGCCTGATTTTTTTTTCTTTACCACTTCGGTTCTGAAGTTTAAAGGTTAAAGTCGAGATGGGGGAGGGGGAAGGGGGGGGGGGGCTAGTGTTGAAACTTAGGAACGAAAAATTGAAGTTTTGAAGTGTAGTTAGGAGGAGGAATAATATCAACTTAATGGCTGGGGAACAATCAAAGAAGTTCTACAGACGCTGACATGGAATTAAACGTTATTAAATGATATCACCAAAGACAAAAAAGACCGTATCTACACAAACACGCACACTCATACACACACACACACACACACACACAGAGAGCTCCGTGCTAGAGGAAGCTAACTTCCAGTAAAGATCTCAGTTCCAAGACTAGTTTATTTGGCATATGTTGCTAGTCCCATATTTTTAGACCATTCAGCACTTGAATGGTGATTGGTAAGTCGTAGAGATATCAACCACTGTCTTCGGACACAGTCCATCTCTGCCTTTCTGAGGATACTCACTGAGTCACTGACAAGGCACGTGCGAGTGAAAATCTGAGTCTCCAGCCATGTTATTGCTTTGGTCTCTGTCTTGACCTCCATAGTCAGACTTCTTGTGGTCACGGTAAAGGCACCATAATCCTTACCTTCTGTAAACCACTCTCCCATCCAGCCTGAGCCGTGAAAGCCACGAGATTCTCACCTGGCGAACAACAGACCCAACTTTGTAAATGACAGCATCCCCATCTAGAGAATTCTCGAAAATCAAGGCCTGAATGTTTGTCTCCACAGCGGCTGGACTTTGTTGCCTGCATTTCCTGTCTAGTCGCATAAATGAAAACAGCAAAGGTAGTAAAGCACTCTGTTGGCACTTGTACCCACTTCTCGCTGGGTTCTATGTCCCCTAACATAATTATAACTGTCAAGAAACAGATTACAAACAGTATATTCATACCATATCAGACTTTGACATTATAAAAGGCACACCTAAGTAAAATTAACTAGTAAAATAAGATACCTGTGGAAACCTTTCTCCACCCCCTCCCCAACTTAACCATTCCAGACCGACTGAAAAATTATGCATATTACTTTATGCTTTTAAATGAAAAGTGCCTCACGCCCCCCCCCCCCCTTTTTTTTTTCCCACACTTTTTTTTAAAACAAAGTAATAAATAGTTATCAAGTAACTATGTTAGCATTACAAGTCTTAACAGAGGATCAAGAATATGATCAATTCCACCAACCTTCTCCAACACCAACATTTTATACAACTGGACTGTCCGTTTCTCCAAACCCGCTACCCTGACCTTGGAGTTGTCTTGTTGCTGCTTCTGCTTCTGCAGCGACTTCTTTGAGCTGAGCAGGACAAACTTGAACTGCAGCAACGTCTGCACTACGTTGTTGTGCTCGTGTTGCAGGGCATTTATCTTATGGGCCGCCTTGTTGTGTTCTTGGATCAGCTTCTTCACGAAATCTCTAGTGTTCTGAGCATAAAGCACAACCACATACAGGATTGTTTAATCTTAAGTGTGCAATAAACTTACGAGAAATTATTATTTATGTATGTCAGTGTTAAATTAATCTATTTTTTAATGTCCGTCTATTTTGTCATAATTACACAAAATCAAACTATCTAATAAAAAAAAATTATCAGAGCGTGACTACTCAAATTGTCTCTGCGAATTTGTTGATAAATATGCTCCTAACATGGTTTAAGAACTTAAGTGCTTACATGAATTACCGAAACAAAGCTATCCACCACAACAAGCTTGCACCCTATTGCATTATTCTAGCAAAGATGATTTTGTTTTATTTTTATTCGCTGGATCAACATCATGGCACACTGGTGTAACCCATAAGTGCTCCTTTCTACTTCTAACTCTAATCTGAGTCTGAAGAATCTCAGTGCAGTGCACAAACTCCGTTGCACCAGCGATGATTCTGAAATACTTTGGGTAGATTTTTAACTCAAAATTTTGCCCGCGCAGTGCCGCTAGACTACTCTTTTCCAACTGCTAGGTGAATTTTTTTTAACGTACGCAAGAATACACGGGCATTCGATTTTACTACCCAGAGACCAGGGGAAATTACTAGAATTCCACGTGAAAAAATGCCACTCTCTAACGGAGCTTGAAGCCCGGCTCTCTAGCGAAGTTGGTTAAACCTGACTTTCGCGGCGGCCGGGTGACGAACTCCTTGTGGTCCGGGTTCACTCCCGGGGGTAGGCAGAAAAGCCACATTTCTCCCAGATTAACGGTACCTATAATGGAATCAATGCCGAAGGGTTGCGATATCCATAGTACCGAGCCAAAGGGTTTACAACTCATGGTTTCTGGATACGAAAAAAAAAAAAAAACGGAGCTTGAACCCAGGACCTCAAGCACTCGAGGCGGACACCACACCTCGAGACCACTCCACCCCGATCCTAGCAAAAAGTTTGTGCACACAGTTTGAGCACAATAGATTGTCAGGAAATAGTTTCGAATAAAAAAAAGTGTTACCTTGACAAACACTACAATTAAACTTCATAACATTAAATTAATAAACAAACTTTTGAAGAAATATCAAGTGTGCTCACGTCATGTTCCACTCTAAAACTTAGTTTCCGAAAGACGGTAAGAATCTGGGCCTGTAGTATCCGGAGGGCTTGGTTGGCCGACCTCTGGTCTTCAACTTGCCTGAACATCTCATGCTGGGCAATATTCACTTGGGTCTTATATTTCGTCAGGTCGGTTTGAATCTCAAACTGTGTGTACCGCATTCTTTTTAGGCTTTTCAAAGTCGCTAGTTGCCGCTTTAATATGTTGGACACCAGTTGGTCTTTTGGCTACAGTTAGGAAAAATAATACATACAATAATATTACTACTGGTGAACAATTCTACTGTCATCCCTTATTTTCTGGAACTTATACTTTGTGTGTGAATGAAGTTGATATCCGTTAAAATGTTTCTTAGGTAAAGGTCGTAAAAAGCCTACCAGATGTGATTATGAACACAGAGCCCGAATGACACAAGATAAGGAGGACAAGATTTTTGAAGAAAAAAAAAATTGTAAGATGAGCCTGAGGTAGGTTTGTAAACACAAGCGGTGTATTGACACATTTGTTGTAAATTTTAAACTCTTCTTCTAGTGTTTTTTTTTTTTTCTGATTACTCGAAATGGTTCTTTATTCTTTGTGTTTTTAAATATTGTTGTTCAGCATGAATGTTCCTCTGTCTTTTTTGTTAAACACAGTTGAGGGTTTATCAAATTTTGATAGTCTCAGACCAGATTTTCAAATAGTCCACATTTCACACTGTGGTGAGTCTCATCTACTTCTCACAACCAGAATTGCTGCCTGCACTTATAATAACATCAAGAGACAATCCCTTACATAGCACTATCCATAGACTTGAGCCACATCAGCAGTCTCAAGACATTTCTGAAATAATATCACTTAAACATCACTGTATCACTAGAAAACTTATGTTATTTCTTGACAGGGCCGACGATTTAAATCCGAATCCAAATTTTATAAAATGACTGACAAACGTTCTACCTGCCCCATTAAGACCGCATGACGAGTGATTAACACCAAGTGACACAAAGTGCCACCATTCGGATGACAATGACCCGGGCTTAAGTCCCAGAAACCCCGTTCAACCTGTAGGTTATATTTAGGGCTCCTGACGACAGCGGGTGTGGGTTTCTAAAATAACAGAAAACTGCGTCCCATTTCTGGACGAAGATAATACAAATATACTATCAACTGACTGACTGACGTTCAACTCGTCCAGGACCATACCAAGTGATAAACACCCGGTGACAAAGTGCCACCATTCAGATGAGGATCCCCTAGGAACAGATTCCCAAAACCCTGTTTAACTCATAGGTTAGGTTATAATAGGGTTCACGTCAACAGCTGGGGTGGGATTAGAACAATAAAAAATTGCGACATTGAGACGCAGTATTACTAATATATACTATACAATGGCCTTGGTTTTCGGCGTCGTACTGACCAGATCACCCATTTATTGCCGATGAATATATAAATGTTAGGGTCTTGCACTGTATGCAGAGACCCCAATGACGTAATAAATGTCAGTTACAAAGATCACAAAGAACGCTTACAGGCGGATGGGATCATGTGTTCTTATGTATTCTTTGACTCACACTGATCTGGTTCGCCTCACGGTGTTGACTGAGAGCAAGAAGCCAAATTATTTCACCTGACCTCACGACTTTGAGGTAGCTGATCCAATCAGTATCTAGTTTATGTTTCTTCTTCAGATACGGGTGACAAACTAGAAAAACTATGTGACTGCTAAAATTGACACGAAAATACTTAATTTCCCTATATACTGTATGAAACATAGTTGGAAAAGATAATAAGTAAGTCAAAAATGGTTGTTTTAAAAAAATGACAACAACTTGAAAACCGTAAATTTGTACACATATACTGCCCCTTTATTTTTCAACATAATTTTCACCAACATTGTTGCACTTGTCCCATTGTTTTATCAGTCCTCCCAAACCTGTTGAATAGAACTGCGTGTTCTGTTTTATAAACAACATTTACATTTCACATTCAGCTTCTGCGTCATTCGTGAAATGACTTTCACCAAGGTGGGTTTTAAGTGGACCAAAAGGGTAGAAATCGGCAGAGGCTAAGTCAGGGCTGAAAGGTGGATGTTCCAAAGTTCCCACATTGTATGGCGAATTCTGTCCTGATTTAACCGAGCTTTTGTTCTTTAATGGTATATTTTGTAAGTACAGCTGACATATTGTTTCTATGTTGCAAATGCGCATGAAACAGCTAGCGCTACCTAACAAACGGAGACACAAAGTTCGATGTTCCAGTCACCTAACGGCAACTTTAAAAACCAACCACTAAATTGTCCTGCTTTACCATGACCATTTGTGACTTATTTATGACTTCCCCTCCTATATTTATCCGATGACGCGCTTTATAAGTACTCTGAAAAACTACTAATGATTCATATGGGCGGTGGGGGGGGGGGGGTCTATTGGTTGGTTGAATCCTAAGGTATTCTTGTGTGCGGTACATATCATGAACATGCCCACATTTCGCCGGCAGCGAGATTTCAATTTGGCTTCCATTTATGCCAAGGATGCTGGCATGTTCATGATGTGGACCTTGTGTGCAATTGAATAATTTCCCTCCCTAATTTACACAGAATGTAAAAGTCAAAATTATGGAAAAAGTAGCTTTAGTAGTATATTAATGTTGCTCACGAAAAGAGGACCAACCTGTTTTGATATGATGGTCTCCAGAGTTCTTTTGAAGGCCCGCATCTCTTCATGCATCATCATCATCTCCTGAATGATGGCCTTCTTTTTCAGTTTGAGGAATGTCAACTCTTTGTATATTCGACTGCGATCTGAGTTATCAGCTGAAAAGAAAATATGTTTACGTAGTAGCTTCCAGAATATTGCTTTCTTGATTGTTTATATATATATATATATATATATATATATATATATATATATATATATATATATATATATATATATATATATTCTAGTAACGTTTTTTCGCCCCAAAAAAACCGTGGTTGGCCTTTCATTCATGCTTGGTGACCTTTAGCCAACCATGGTTTATTTGGGGCGAAAAACATGACTAGAACCATATATATATATATATATATATATATATATATATATATATATATATATATATATATATATATATATATATATATATACAATCAATCCCATAACTCTGCGTGTCGTTGAGTTAACAGGTGCTGTGATTGCCAGATCGGTTCCCTCGACCTCTGTCGGTCAGAGGTAATGGTCTTCATACATGCATGTTTGAGGCCTGTTCAGCCAAACACACACAACACACATACTCCCTCACACACAGACACACATACTTTCTCTCACACAGACACACACACACAAACACATACACACTCCCACACACACAGGCACACATACTCGCACACAGACACGCACACGTATATACGCCCACACGCAAACACACATACACACACACGTTCACGTATACACGCACACAAATATACACACACACACCAAAACCACGGTTGGTATGTAAATGAAAGCAAAGGTCTTTCTTCACGTCATTGACGCAGCGGGTATATTGTGCTAGACTCAACATAGACCTAACTAGATTATTATGGCCTGAAGAGAATGATGCACGTGGATGTGGCTAGAATGTCTGCTCACCACACTCAAAGGAAAAGCAAGACGGACATATAACAAAAATACCACCAGTACCATCAGTATTGGAACTCTACACTGGCTGCTGAAGATAGGGACTGAGCGGTTATGGAAATGCCCCGAGTGCATTCTTGACAAAACTCAGCTCAACACAGACTTAACATTGTTACAGGCCAGTCAGCACTCGATGACTAATGTCATAGCATCAAACCGACCTCCTTTATATCCTATGAAGTTTTCCTGTCAATGTTTTATGCTAGCTCCACCTGGTAGCGCATAATGTTAGTTGTTAAAATCCATTTGTCCGCGGGCTAGAACCCAGTCCCTTCAAGCCGGTAAGCAAACAAACTATACATTGCGCTAATGCGGTTATTTATGTTTAAATCTCATACTAGCAACATCAGAAAACTCTTCATTGGCTGCTAAAGATGAGTATGGAGCACCTACTTGAGTGCTGTGAGGTCACTTCTTGAGTCAGCTCACCTCAAAACTCAGCTAGATTGTATACAATGAATTTGCAAAACCGCAATGTTGAGCAACTGTATATCTTAAAACGTGCCTACGTTAAATTTTTCATGACACTATAATTACCATAATTTTAAGGGAGTATGTGGCTGACATAATAAACAGAAAACACAATGTCATGTTGCATCTTCCTGTTTATAAACGTAACTGACGAAATTTATTCACTATTCCAGAATGAAATATGGGAAGATGAATCTCCAACAAACTAACGTCTCACAATATAGCGTCGCTATGAACCACACACACACACATACACACAAAGCTTTCGGTAAATATACACGTGAACAAATCATTTCTATGTTTACTATATACGTAAGTGTTGCAGCCTAGAGGTTGTGAACGCAGCTTATCAATCCCGGCATACTGAAATTTAAAGTCAGCTACAAGGGATGTCGTAAAAGACAGCATTGTATATTTTAGATAATAGTTTCAGCATGGTACCGTTGCGGAAAAAATGGCAATCCACTGAATGTAAAATCTCCCAGTAAAATCAAACCACGGTCAATAAATGTGTGACTTGGTTTAGAACATCCCGAAAACACGCAACTGTTACGTTATTTTCACAATGATTACCATAAAGTTTTGTAATAATCGTCGGCTCTGTGGCTAAGTCGATGCGAACGCTTCGTAATGCCGGGATGCCGGGTTCGATCCCAGCTGGGGACCATGCGCTGGTTTCGACAGTGGTATCAAGAAAGCCGACCGTCCAGTGGCAATGGCAAACTACTGGACGTGGCCTAGAAAAACCACACAACAGCCAGGGGCTGTAGGGGTTGGTTCTGCAACGTCCTGTAAAGGATTCGCTACACCACCTTGGTAAGGCACAGACGCCTTTGAATATGCTCGTGTACCACTGCAGTAAGTAAATTATATTATTTTATTGACCGGTCGGAACTAGACGGCTGATGTTAACGCTGCATTATATGTACCTATTCTAGGTTTGATCGATTTAGGTAGGAGCAAAATCAAATCAAGAATATAACTCATGATCCGTTGGGGTAGTAAAGGTCTATTGATGAAAGCACTAGCATATAAGACCTGCCATCTTTTCACGTCTTAGGCTTGTTGAGCAGTAAGGTTAGTTGCGTATTCTTTACAGGACGTTGCAGAACCAACCCCAGCAGCCCCTGGCTGTTGTGTGGTTTCTCTAGACAATTTACGTCCCGTAGGTTGTCATTGCTCACTGGACGGTCGGCCACCTGATACCACTGTCGAAACCAACGCAAGGCGCATGCCCCGCAGCTGGGATAGAACCCGGCACGGTCGCATTACAAAGCGTTCGCATCGACTTAGCTACAGGGCTGACTATGTTGAGCAGTAATAATAATAATAAAATAATGTCATCCTGTCAATTTCTTGATTTTGTTATTCCAGACTTTTCTTTTACCCCCCCCCCCCTCCCCCCCCCCAAAAAAAAAGCCTAATGAAATTAGTCTTTGCAATCGAATCATGTCACACTCATGTCCGAGCCAAGCTAGCATGCCACGTTTCACCACTGACAGAAGAGTGCTGATATCCTGAAAATGTTTGTAATTGTTATCTTTCATACTTGTTAGTTTCATGTTTGTAAATAGCTATAAAGAATTCGTCTAAAACATTTATGTCCAAAGCCTGAGTCATCGTTTTCATTTCCGCAGTGAGTCTAACTCTGACATCCGTATCACATGACAGACCATACCAGTGATATATTGATTATTACTGCTGTGCTGATTTTGCTCTTCTACATCGTATTCAGCTGAAACATCGCAGCTGTTGCCATATCCCTCCGTGACCTGATCTCTGTCATAAAACTAACGTCATTACATGTGTGGAAGCCGAGGTATTTAAAGGTTTGAAGATCAGTATAGAAAAACAAAATCTGACACGACAAACATTCAACCCATGACATTAGGACGACAGACGAATTTCTAGCCGCTACACTACAGTAGTTCCCTGAAAAAGAAGTGTATTAAATAATACGCGTTTTGTGTCTCAGTCAACCCAGTATCTGGTGTCGACATTGTAGTGAGTATTGAATCAATAAACCCGGATGAAATTTGTTTAATATTACTGGCACCAATGGTATACTGGTATGTTGTCAGTGAACTTAGTATTGTATTTTTAAATACATAGTAATTACTGGCAACATTAGGGCTAAAAGACTTTAATGGTTTGGATATAAAACAATTAACAATCAACAGAGATACACAAACTTCACACACAAAAGAACTGAATGGCCGTAGACCACTAGGCAGACTGAGAATTTGTGGAGAAATAATGTTCAGGTAGACCTATTTCGACCTACATTGGGTTTGTCAAGGTAAAGATTCGAAATCACAGCATTCAGGACAAGCCCAAATTTGCTCCGTCTTCCTGTTGAATAGACAGGTAAGAGTTTCCATAGTGATGTTACCCGTTGTCATCTGGTTAACTACTCGTCTTGCCTTCCCTCTGAATCTCTAGTGGCGCCCAGAGCCAACTGACACACCCAGCTGTATCATTCTCTCCAGGTACGGGTTTTCACTATCTTCTATTTCATCTCTTGCCTTGTCCCACATGTTAGAGATTACCTCTGCCTTCTACAGTTGCAGTACACCTCTAAGTGGGAGCAGCCCATCAGTTTATTTGCTTGCTCATTCCCAAACACACCTGAATAGCCCGGGCAAAATATGACCTACAAAAACTTCGAAGTCACCAGCTGGAGAAAAAAAAAGTCCAATCACAGACTTCAGGGGCTAATAATGTTGAAGAAGAAGAACAAGACGATGGTTGACAATAGAATAGTTGTGTTATGAGTAAACCAAGATAGATTGTATCTGATATTGTTAGCGCCGTTTTTTCAATGGTTGTGTTATCAGTAAAGCTAATCTGTGCTGGGACGTACCTAGTAAATCGTTCTGCAGCCTGGTTTGAGTGTTGGTCAGGGAATCTACCTGAGACTGGATTTGTGACAGAGTTCGTCGTCGCTGGATATTGAACCTGGACTGAGAATCAGGAGATCAAGTGAATGATGTTGTTCAGACACCATCAGCTAACGTTATTCCTGCTTTAACACATCATTATCATGTTGTGCCATCAAATGTTACATGAAGATAGCACTTGATGCATCCCTCCCATCCTTTCATGTGCCATCCTTTCAGTATCATGGATTGAGTCAGGCCTTTGGTCTCTCTCATATTTTTGTCTTCTAATGTGCGTGTGTGTGTGTGTGACCCGGGGGGGGGGGGGGGTGCTTGGGGGGTTGGAACGTGTGTGTTTCCTCAATCTATTTTCTTTCCATTGCAGTGCCTATTTATTGATGTTCTAGTTGATTCTTTTCATGGTGTATCAAGTATAGCGCTCGGTTTTTTTTTTTTGTCTTTTAAAAAATAACCTAGGGGTCGGGGGGGGGGGGGGGGGAATCTTGAGACCTATTGACTCTGACCAATAATATTCTGTCATTCGAACCAGCATAGCCAGATCAAATGTTTCTTGGGTTTAGCTGTTAATATTGTCAACAAAACACATAAATGAATCACCGAAAAACTGTTAAGGCTGTTTGCATCATATCGTAAACAATTGTAATGTATTTATCTTCATCAAATAGTATTTCCTTCTAATAATATTGTCAAACTTTTTTCTTCATCAAATAGTTTTTCCTTCAAATGATATTGTCACACTTTCTTTCTTCATCAAATAGTTTTTCCTCCTAATAATATTGTCACACTCTTTTCTTCATCAAATAGTTTTTCCTTCTAATAATATTGTCATACTTTTTTCTTCATCAAATAGTTTTTCCTTCTAATAAGATTGTCACACTTTTTTTCGTCATCAAAAAGTTTTTCCTTATAATAGTATTATCACAGTTTTTTTCTTCATCAAGTAGTGTTTCCTTCTAATAATATTGTCACACTTTTTTTCTTCATCAAATAGTGTTTCCTTATATTAATATTGTCACACTTTTTTCCCCGTCGGACATTTCCAATGATCAAGAGAATTCGACAGTACTGGGCATATAAGGCTAGATCTATATTTTATAGACCAATCGTATACGACAGAGGCGACAGAGATGTTGTTCTTCAGACGAATATTAGGAATCACTCGAACTGCTAGAGTAACTAACGAGGATTGCTCGAAAGAAGCTAATTGAAAACAGATCAATAAATACAGCTATAAGGAAAATACAACCAAAGTTCTTTAGTCATGTGATGATGGGGACACTGGAGAATATTTGTGACGATTAGAAAGATCAACGGTAGAAGAGGGAGAGACAGACCCAGAGAGAGTTGATGACGGATGGACTGCGACGGTGGCACGGAGGAATATCATAGGTGGAACTGATCCAGAGGACAAGGGACCGAGATCTGTGGAGAAGCATGAACGCCTATGCCAATTGACAGGCCACGTGATGATGATGATGAATCGTATAGTGGTAACTTAAGTATGTGCTGCATAAAAGTAAGTTGTGATTTATTCGCTTTTATAGTATAAGTAGTTTATCTAAAAGAAAAAAAAATAAACTGGGTGCAGACAAGTGATTAAACCTCTCCCAGGGTATTTTTAGAGAACACCTGACAAGAAAATTATTGAACAGGAAAAAACTGAATGGAGGAACTGGTTGTGAGCTCTGTGTGATACGTAAACAACACAACATGATGATGTTGGTGATGATGATGATGATGATGGTGAAGATAACGTTCTTACCGACGGATCAACAAGTTTCTTCAGCTGACCCTCGGAGAAAGACATCCTTTCTGTCAAAAATGAAATCTGCCTGCCCAGATTTTGCAGATTCATATCCACCACGGAAAATTTCGCTTCTTTGGCCGACAGTCCTTTCTGTAGGAAATCAGCAGCAAAAATGTCACCAGTCTGAAACTGGTGGTGGTGGTGGTGGTGATGTTGGTGGTGGTGGTGGTGGTGGTGGTGATGTTGGTGGTGGTGGTGGTGATGTTGGTGGTGGTGATGTTGGTGGTGGTGGTGATGATGTTGGTGGTGGTGGTGATGGTGGTGGTGGTGGTGATGGTGGTGTTGGTGGTGGTGGTAGTATTAGTACTAGCAGTCGTGAGGGCTATTGTGCTGGTAGATAACAATATACACGCAATGCTTAGAGTAAGTACTGAGCTTTACGAAAAGTAACGAAATAGCCGACTAACTATTACTGTCTGCATTGTATATCCTTTTATATGCCTGTCTGTCTGAATATTACCACGGTGCTAATAGATCAATCCATCTGTCTGTCTGTCTACTTTTCTATATCTTTCTATGGGTGCCTGTAAAAATCGTGGCTACGTGAATGTAACAAATATTGTTGGTAATAAAACACACGTTAAGATAATGAAATATTTTTTATCAACCATGTTAGAATTTATAATTTGTAGACTGCGTCAATGTCACTGTGTCAAATTGCCATGTATAGCTACACTAGCACTTCTTTATTCATGTACGACATTGGACTGAGGGTGTTGAGAATGGATGGCTGGTGAAACAGAGGCACCTAAGCAACAGCTTATTAACAACACTTTACGCCCAGGTGGCATCATGATGTATACCAGTGTTTCCGAATCTTGTTTGGCACACCGCCCCCTTTTCATTGGGAAAATAAAATTGCCCAGCTCCCCCCTCTCCTTGGAAATATCACAATCATCATTATGTGCAATACTGAAAAGCATAGCACGACTTAAATTTTGTTGACGTTTTCGAGTGTGCTTTGGTGGCCGTAAATGTGAGTTAGGATAATCTAAGTTAGGGTAATCTATTTTGACTGAGTGGTTTTAACGGCGACCACTCCTAGCGTCAAATAGGAAATCTTAGCTACGTACACGGTGGACTGAAGTTACCTATCCTAGACTTTTACCCAGCTCAAGTAGCGACTGAGAGTTTCCATACGGTTAACTGAAACTTAAACTCTGGACGAGACCATTTTCGAATTGCCCCCTGCCCCCTTTTAACAATAAAATTTCCCCTTAATCAAATTGCCCTACACTGAAAAACCCCGATGTATACAGATGAATCTGCAATGAGAGGTTTGAAAAAAGCGAGCAGGATTTTTATCCGGTTGCCACATCAGTAAGAGGACGAACGAACAGGACTGAGTACGCAGTGATGTCAGAGTGCAGTGATGTCAGTTCATTCATTCGTTCATTCATTCTTACATTCATTCGTTCATTAATTGTTTACTAGACCTGTTTCAAGAAACACACATAGTCTGCTAACCTGGATTTCTGGGATACGTGGGGATATAACCATTATTTTCTTGGTCAAGAGAGCCAGTGCTTGGGCCAACGTCGTTTGAGAGTATTTCAGTTCTTTCAACTCTGGTCCCACCATCTGACAAATGACACATTCGGACAATGGTAACAAGTGATGAATTTATTCACAAAATCGGACAGAATTCTTGATCACCAAAAATCTGTTATTCCATTACGAACACATTATAGACATTTATCTATTTTGTTTAAGCAGAAGATGGCTTTGATTTTAGTAAATGTATTCTCTGTATGTTGTAACCACTAAACAGTTTGTGGAAAGAGAGACAGAATGTTGGATCGTGTGTCCTGTCCCAAAACAAAACGGATCTAGCTTGTCTCCTAGATCAAGCAGTAATAGATGGCTTTTTGTTTGAGGCTTGAGTTTTTTTGTGTTTTTTTTCTCGAGGTTTTGAACAACGGATCAACATCATATCACACGGGTTTAACGAATAAGTGCTCCGTTCTTATTCTTACCCAAGTTTAATTCAGAAGAAGCTCAGCACAGCGCACAGGCTCTGTAGCCTCGGCGAAGATCCTGAAATACTTTGCGTAGATTTTTAACTCTAAATTTTGCCCGGACAGCGCCGTTAGAGTGCTTTGGTACATTTCCAACTGCCAAGAGATTTTTTAAGTGGCAACAATGCACATGGGCGTCTGATCTCACTACCCAGAGACCAGGGGAAATTACTAGAAGCCTAAGTCCACGTGAAAAAATCCCAGCCCTTACCAGGGTTTGAGCCCTGAACCTGTAGCACTTGAGGAGGATACCTTGACTCGAGACCACGCAGCCTCCTGTTTTAGGCTAAGGTCTTATAATAGATTTCAAAACAGTATTCATAACTGATTGTTCCGTCTTGTATTACTGTGCCACTTCTTTAGTGTGGATAATTTGAGCATAATATAATGAACAAAGTACAGCAGTGTCAGATGTATGGAACAAAGGATGCTTTTTTACACACTTAAACAAGGCTCCTGTCTCTTACTGCCCTGCCGTCCCTTTCAATTATAAGACCCCACCCCATGATGTCTTGGTGGCTGAACAGCATCTAAGGGTATACATGGAGTTTGTCATCCTACTCTTGTCTAGTCGGGTTATGCTTTTTAGGACCAGGTTTTGAAGAGACATCTGGTGCAAGCTTTAGTGTGTGTGCTACGTAAATGCTGATATTCACAGCATTGGATATTCCACTGGTTCATCACTTGCACACAGTCGACCTCTAGGCTGTTTTCCTTATGTCGAGCTGACAGGGCTTTCTTTGGTATAGTAACCTGTGGTGTCTTGACACGTGTCCGAACCACCAGCCGTGTTGAAGAATACTGTAATTTACAACTGGATCCGTCGAAACTTGTTTCTAGATATCGTCAGTTTTGGTTCCTCTCTCTTATTTTACATCAAAGATTCGTCGCAGCCATTTTATTTATGATTTTTCGATTGATCTTTTTGCCTTGGAATTCAATGATGTTGATTTCTAATTCAGTAACTGAGTTTTTCATTGAAACCTGTCTTTATCGAGTATAACGCTAACAATAGAATAATAAACATGTCTAACTCGTCTGGAAGTCACCGTGGCGGAGCGGCTAGACGCTCGCCGCAAATCGGAAGGTCGAAGGTTCGCTCTCTGGTGGAGCAGGACTTTTTTCCAAAACGACCGTGGATCCCAGTTCGATCCAGCCTTGAGTGGGTACCGGGTGCAGTCCCGGGAAGTAAAGGCAGCCGGCGTGATGCTCACCACATCACCCATCTTGTGCCGCTTTATAAAATATAGGTCTAGCCCTATATGCCCTATACACTGAAAAGCGTGGAAAAGGGACCTTTATTTTTATTATTTAGGCTACTCACTGCGTCCACGGTGGCTACTTTTTCCATCACGTCGGTGGAGAGACCAGCAAAACGAACTTGGAGGTCGGTGATAGATTTCTTCAGGTCCGAGATACTTGTCTTGATTTCCGAGATGCTAGCTCCGGTTTCTCGCAAGTTGCTGTGTGTATCTTTGGACATCTGGGAGAGCTATATAAACATAAGTAGGCTATGTCTTACTAGACGTAAATTACCCTCTCTCTCTCTCTCTCTCTCTCTCTCTCTCTCTCTCTCTCTCTCTCTCTCTCTCTCTCTCTCTCTCTCTCTCTCTCTCTCTCTCTCTCTCTCTCTCTCTCTCTCTCTCTGGTAAAAATGGTTTAAAGTACAGAGTTTGATAAAGCAATTAACAGTTTGTTTTGTCAACTTTTTTTGCAGAATAAAGCAAAAATATAAAAAAGTTAAAGTCGCTGAACAGACTAGTTTACAACGTGGGATGCCGGGTTCGATACCATCTGCGTACGAATTGTCTTGCGTTTGTTTGGACACTGGTAATCGTTCAGGAAGAAATTGCAAAATACTGAAAATAAAGTTTGACTAAGAAAACCACAGCAACCAAAAATGTTGGAGTTGGTTCTGCTACTTTCTGTAAAGAATACGCAGCTCACTTTTTAAATGTCTTTTCCAGTTTATTGTCGGCTCATATTGTAATGCGGTCATATTAAGTTTTTTTATTCATTATTTCATATTTTACCAGCTGTTGTTGTTTTTGTGTGTGTATGTGTGTGTGTATGTGTGTGTGTGTGTATGTGTGTGATTGTGTGTGTGAAATATCAGCTGGCTCCAGTTCGTCAACAGTGGACGCAAGTTCATCCTAAATGTAATTGTTCGCCCTTCAATGTTGAGACAGTTCCACCCAGTGCCACCAGTTAGCACCCGTTAGTCCCACCGCTTTCTCTAGTCACTTCCACTACTTTCCCCCAGTTAATTCTACCGCCTTCCACCAGTTAGTTCCATTTAATTCCACTTTAACCCAGCGTGTTCCACTATCTTCTCCCAGTTTATTCCTTTGTTTTCTCCTAGTTGGTTCCATCTGTTGTTCCTCTTTTTCCATCATGTAGCCCCAAGCTACAACTGTCAGTTATTTTGGGAAACTCTTGAGGCATAAGCAGCAAATTCAAAGCAACTGTTTCGTACTCATAAAAGCAGAGGGAGATATAGATTAGTGCATCTTTCTCATTTCTGTGGATGTAATTCAGTACCTGTAAGTTTACTGCTCACATAAACATCAGTGTGTCCACACAGATGGCGTTGATTTGATCACAAATCTAGACGCTAGCGCTTACTGAATACTGAATAGCCTCATGGTGTAAGTAAATTATTTGTACACCTAATATTTACTGACATAATAAAAGTACAACAGTTTGTTTAGTGGGACCGTTCTTCTACTTCGTCTTAAAGTCCATACCGTGTGGCGTTAGTGGCCATGTCTATTCACAACCTTCTGTCTCGCATACTTTAAATGATCTCTGATACAGACGGTCCTTCATGCCATGATGTCAGACTGTCCAACACTTGTGTGCTCGGTCTTCCTCCGTGTATTCTCCCCTCCAACTTTCCTGTGTAACGACGTACTCCAGTTTTCTCCTTTTCATCACATGACCAAAGAATACAGATTGTCTCATTCTGATGTGGGCAATCAGTTCTCTTCGTGAGTCAGTTCTATTTAAGACATATTCATTAATCTTTTTGTCTGTCCAGGCTATTCTCATCATTCGTCTATTAAACCACATGTTTGCGGCTTTCAAATAAGTTTTCACTAATTTACTTACTGTCCATGATTCACATCCTTATATCAATACAGTATTTAGAAAACTTTTAAGAATTATCTTTCTTGTCTCAATTGACAAATAAAGATTGCATAAAATATTCTTCATCAAATAAAAAGCTGCCTTGGCTTGAGCTATTCTACAATTAACTTCTTTAATACAACATCCATCTGATGTTATTAGGGTACCCCAGTACATATCAGCTTGCTTGAGGTTTGTTCCATTTACTTTGATGTTGCATTTTGGAGGGTAATTTTGCTTTATAACTACCATTACTTATGTTTTTCTGCTGTCAAAACTAAGACCCTTATTTTTACTTTCCTTTACAAAATTATATCCATAATTTCCTGCGGTTGTTTCATTTTCAGCCATCTAAACTATATCGTTAGCATTTCGCAGGTTGTTAACATCATGCTACCAACCGATATTCCTGTCATACCATGTACGGATCTAATTATTATTTCGCTGTACAAACTGAATAAATCAGGTGATAGTACACATCCCTGTCTAACGCCTTGTTTAATGTTTTGACTAATTCTTGATTGATCATAACCAAAACCCACGATCCCTCGTGTGGGTTCAGGTTTCCTATTCATCTGTCTGAGACGCCAGGAACGGAAAACTCAAGCTCTGGAACATAACTGAAGGCAAGAGCGAACGAGCAAAAAGTAATTTCCGCCAGAGTTTACAGTGAATGCTAAGAATAAAACTACATGAAAAAGATTAGAAAATGAAATTACATGATTTGGAGGAAGAGGGTGGGGGGGGGGGCAGACAGAAGACGGAGAGGAGGGGAGGGATGGAGGAAGAGAGAGAGACGAGGGAGAGAGGGAGAGAGAGAGAGAGAGAGAGAGAGAGAGAGAGAGAGAGAGAGAGAGAGAGAGAGACGCATTCTTACCATAGTGACCGTTAAACTTGTTGCCTTTGAGTCTTCATTTAGCTGCCGGATTCGGTTGCTGACAGTTTTCTGCATGTCGCCAAGGCTCAATATCGTATCTTCCATTCTCTTCATATCTCCTCGGGCCATCTCCACTTTGTCGTCGACAGCTGCATAAAACATATTATTGAATAAGAAAGCTTGCCCCCATCCCAAGCCCACAGGCCCTCCCCTCCTACACCAAACACACATAAATCTGCTAATCAAAACTACAGATGATCGTTCAGGCTCAGATAAATGAGTAATTTCATTAACTGACCAATGAATGGATGGGTGGATGGATGGATGGAGGAAAGATGGATGGATGGATGTGTGCAAGCAGGAAGAAGTAAAAAGAAAAACAAGAAGTGAGGAGATGAGGAAAAAGAAAATATTGGTTAGGACAATAAGTAGTTTCCCGCTGAACAGCAATGTCAGGGAAAGTAGTGAAAAGACAAGGGTTCTTCTCTGGAGGGGCCAAGAAATATGATCATAGCCCTGGCAAATGATATGTGAATAATTGTTTTACACAACAACAAAAACTGACTTCAACTACATAGCTAACGCCTAAACAAACCACGTGCACGAACTACAAGTATCTTGAATCAAGCAACCGAATTATAATCATCCCATTGAACATCTCTTTTTTTCCTGAACACTAAACTAACTTTGCTTCACAGATTACACTACATAACACCCATCAGCGTGCTCGACCAGGCCATGCGCTAACCACTCCACTAACAAGGATATAAGATAATGAACGCATAGGTTCAAAAAATTACATCAGTAATGGCAAAAATCAAAACAAATTAACATGTGCGTTTAAACTACAAAATACCACCAGATCAGTAAATCGCAGCCAGTGACCTGCTATTAAACTATCTCCGAGCAAGGATACATAACATAAATCTAGATCTAACACACAATATAACTACTCAAATGTACTGCCGCATAATATAAGTGAGCCATCACATTCCACCATCATAAAATAAGTCAGACAAACAATCTATTTTAGCTCAGTTGCCCGAACTCACGCTGCTAAGCCCGTGTGCGGTGCCGCCATAGATCGGTTGGATCTCTTGTCCCTGGGGGATTGGGGGAAGCTTAGAAAGAGGTCCTACTCGCGCTGGACAGCCCCTATTGATCCTTGAGCTATGCCAGCTTTGCAAGTGCAGTCAAATCAAGTCCGTGGCCACACGGCTACAGATGTATGGATGGAAGGAAGATGAATCTCTGCACTCTCAATATATCCACATGGACTTCATTCTCTTTTTCAGCAGTCAACGTTCATGACATCTTTAGCCTGGTTTCAGTGGTTGTCAGATGAGAAGGCCACAGGCGTGTGTGAAGGCTAGGTGCTACGCATGTCCTTTCCTGGGTGTTATGTCCGCTAGATAACTATCTAGGCTGATTCATAATACACTTGATATGAGTCATGTTACCCCATCCTGTAGATTCTGATAACGCCATACGGTCAGGGATATCTTTGCAAAGTTATTGGTATAACTGGATGAGGGACTGTGCTTAGAGAATGAAAGGCAGAATATTATGATGACAGTGATGGCGTAGGAAATGAATAGCAGCAACAGCAGAAGAAGAAGAACTAGAAAAGAAGAAGAAGAAGAAGAAGAAGAAGAAGAAGAAGAAGAAGAAGAAGAAGAAGAAGAAGAAGAAGAAGAAGAAGAAGAAGAAGAAGAAGAAGAAGAAGAAGAAGAAAAAGAGGAAGAAGAAGAGGAAGAAGAAGAAGAAAAATAAGATGATCATGATTATGATGATTAGCATGACTGTAGTAAATTATTAAATAAACTGCAGAAGAAGAAGAAAAGAAAAAGATTGGGGAGGGGGGTGGGGGGAGGGAGATAAGAAGAAGATTGTAGTAACAATGAAGAAGGCAGTGAATTATGCTAACAGTTAAAGAAAGCAGTGACATTAAAACCGGCAGCAAGAAAGACACACTGCGTCATCTAACGATGTTTATAAATGATTTTTTTCAAATACTGGAGACAGACTGCACTTGCAACTCCCCCTTCCCTAGTTCTATCTGATACGTGTTTAATCTATACTTGACCTGCGATGTTCCGGTCACTTTGCTCCTTATTGGTCCGTAACAAATGATGGGTTAATGCCCTGGCATTTTTCATGGCTTCAATTTCTCCCCTGAGCTCGGCGATTTCTCTGTGCAGATTCTAATCGGTATTCATAGGTCCATTTGAGAGTCATTGCGTCATGAAACAAATAATTAAAAAGTTATCTGTTATTTACGTTATTTTATATAATATGACTTTCTTTTACATTCTGAGCAACTCATTTAAAACCGCCTAGTTTATTCCAAGAATACTAAATTCTCTTAGCTGTGTTCTCAGCACTGTTGTATGAGAGTAAAACTTGGTCAACTTAATTGAACCAGGAGAGACGGCTAAATAGTTTTCACATGCGATGTCTAAGAAGAATACTTGGCATTAAGTTACAGAACAAGGCCACAAACACTGAGGTATTGGAAAAAGCAGGTAATATAACAGTCTCTTCAGTGCTCAGTCTACGTAGGTTCAGGTGGTTGGGTCACACCTGAAGAATATCGAGGATGTCTCTAAGGACATCTTGTATGGTAAACTAGAGACTGGTAGAAGATGTCGAGGCCGACCTCTACTACGATATAAGGACGTGTGCAAGCCGTACATGAATGATACAGGTACTGAGATGGACTCGTGGGTACAACATGCCATGAACCGTGTTGTGTGTTAGCGGCATATCAAGAGGGAAATGAGAATGACGAAAGAAATGATTGCAGAAAGGATGGGAGCTGAACGTCTGAGAAAAAACAGACTAAACACAAATATTGACAACAATTTCCCTGAAATCTCATGCTATAATTGTGGACGGCTTTTCTTAAAGCGGGCGGATCTTACAACTAACACTCGCCATCGCCATGGGCTGTGAGTCCCATAACTTCTCAAAGCTTAATGCAATATTATCGTCTGGAAATATTTAAAAGTGTCAGTTATTTACATTAGATGATACAATATGTCTTTATTTTTTACCCGGAGCCTGAATATATAACAACTCACACAAAAGGGCCTTGTGTGTTTCAAGAATACAAAATTATGTTATATTTATGAAAGATTTGTCGGCCGATTTTTGCCCTTAGTGTTACAGCTGGAGAATTCACGAATCTCATCACGGATGGCCAAGCTCCTTAACTTCCAAAACAACTGGGGCCAAGGGCGCCGTCACAAAGAAAATATTGACGGTGCTCAGGCTAATAAGACATTGTCTAAGGGCTAGAAAGTAGCACAGTAGTTCTAAGCTTCAGTTAAGTAAATAATATTTGTTTATGATGTAACCCTATGTGACACATCATTGCATAAAGGAAAATAAAATTACGATGACCGTAGAGAAACTGAATACATAACATAACAATTGACCAGTTAGGGTCGTGGTGGTGTATTGATTGAAGCACTAGCACATACAATCCGCCATCTTTCTCTGGTCTTCTGCTTGATCAATAAGTGAATGATACCTTAGTCCTGTCCATTTTTTGTTGTTGTCATTCTAGGTTCTTCTTTGACCTCCTCTTTTTCCACTCCCCCCCCCCACCCCCCTCCGTTTGTTCCATGAAGCACACATGTCTCACCACGTGCCTGAGCCAAGCTAGCTTGTGACGCTTTTACCACTGCCAAAAGAGGCTTTTGATGTCTTGCAAATGTGTATATTTTGTCTCTGATATATTAAATAGTTTTTTTTTTTTTTTTTTTTTGTTCTAAATAACTAATTTGTAAAATGTGTTTATAACATTTACATTCAAGAGCCTAAATCCTCTTTTCCATTTCCACAGTGAGAGTCCAACTCTCATATCCGTATAATAAAATAGACAACACCAATGATTTGTAAATATTGACTGCGTCGCTGATTTTTGCTCTTTAGCTGAGGCATCGTAGCTGTTGCCATATCAAGTCTTGTTTTGATCTCTTTGGTACAGCTGCCATCATACGGGGGAGCCAAGACATTTAGAGATTTCAACTTCTTCTAGTGTTTCCCCCATTTATCTGTATGTTGGTAGGTACTTGATTATCGCGACTATTTACCAGAATCTTGCTTTTCTCGGCATTAATTCCCATGCCATATTTACCACAGACTATTTCTAATTATTTAGTAAGTTCGTGGAATTCTGCTTCGGAACCAGCCATGCAATCAATGTCGTCTGCAAAACGTAAATTACACAGTTATCTTCCCCCAATGGATACAGATGTTTCATGAATTTCTAGTGTTTCTCTTATGATGTGTTCTAAATACACACTATAAAAGACAAGGAAGATAATGCAGCACTGCCTCACTCCCACGCAGGTTTTGAAAAATTCGCGTGTGCCATTTTAAATGAGTACTGCACTGCTTGCATCTTTATAAAGTGCTTCAATGGTGTCTATTATGTACTTACTGATCAAAGTTAAAATTTCTCATTTTAATCAGAGCCCAGCATCATGCCACACACGGTTAAATGTCTTCGTAAAGTCGATGAAGTTATGGAACAGGTCTTGTTGATGTTGTAAGTGTTTTTCTGTGATTGTTCTGACGTTGAGAATTTGTTCTGTCGTACTTTTATTTTTCCGGAAACCCGCCTGTTTTTCGGCTTATATTCTTACAGATTTTGCTTTTAATCTGTTAAGCATTATTTTGCTTGCGTGGGTGATAAGACTGACAGTTCGATAATTGTTGCAGTATTTCAGACAGAGAAACAAAGAAACTGAATAGAGACAGGTGGACAAGTATTTATGAAAACCTATTGTTCTATTTATTATTTCAGTAGCTAAATTCGTATTATGCCACCCCCCCCCCCAACCCCCACCCCTCTCCTGTTGAATAAGTCTGTCAGTGTATTGATTCCATATCTGTTCTTTTACACTGCCAATTTGATTCTTTAGAGCAGTGGCTATTAACCTTCCTAATGCTGCGACCTTTAAATACAGTTCTTCGTGTTGTGGCGATCCTCAAACATAGTTATTTTCGTTGCTTCTTTATAACTTCATTGAATGTTTTTCGGAATGGTCTTTGGCGATGCCTGTGAAAGGGTCGCTCAAACCAAAAAAGGATTGAGACCCACAGGTTGAGAATCGCTGTATCAGAGTCTTCACCACACCTGCTTTATCATGTAGTAGCTTACCACCCAGAGGAGTAGAAGTAGCTAATTATCAGCCTGCTCGGTACCTCTAACACCAGAGAAAGTCCTGGACAGAAAATCCATTTTATTCTCTTGATCTGGGTCTTATCGAGTGACGCAAGCTACTATGATCGCAGTACAACAGTTTCAATTTTCAGAATCATGAGTCTGTTACAATCACAACATGCCAGGCTGTGCTGTTCTGAAGTTATCTGAACGCGGCCCTTCTGCCTTCAACTCTATTCTCATACTGGATGTAAAGACGTTGTATACGAGGCTTTCTGTTTTCAAGTAGTGTCCATTCACTTTTGCAATAAAACCCAACCCAGTTTTTTTTAACCTTTCACCACATACTCATCTGTATATTTTAGAGTGCCAAGTTTTCGATTGTTATTTTATCTAGTGTTCCCTTCTATCTCTATTTCTTGCCTCTATTTCCACCTTACTGACTGATACTTATAAATGAATTTTTTTGTCACTATAGTTTTGTCTCAGCTTATGCAAAGTTTGTTTTTTCTCAGCTTATGCAAAGTTTGTTTTGTCTCAGCTTATGCAAAGATTACGTGTTGCAGTTTAAATCCTGGCCTAACAAGCTACCACCTTACCTTTACATCGACCACCTTCTGCTCTAGCACCAGTATCCGAGCCTGAAGCTGAGACACCCACGATTCTGCAGTTTTCGTCTCTGTGGAGAAATGTACTGTTCAGATAGTGAAGTGGCTCTTATAGACATTGTCTTGTCTTCCGGACACCCGCTCTCCTGTTCTTTTGCATTTCATTTTGTTGGACTGACTTGCCATTTGGTACATGAACTGACGTGTCAAGTTTGAAGCGTGTTTATGTCTTCGTTACTCGCTCCACTCACAGAAGTGGACATTATAATGCACACTAAAGTCCCTCGTTAGTTAAACTCCCCCTCCCCCCCACCACACACACCCCCCACCCCCAACCTCATGGGTATACGACATGACAGAAGTCCCATAATTTGTCACCCTCCCCCCCCCCCCAACCTCATGGGTATAAGACATGACAGAAGTCCAATAGTTTGTCATCCCCTCCCTCCCCCAACCTCATGGGTATACCGCATGACAAAAGTCCAATAATTTGTCATCCCCCCCCCCCCTTTTAACATCATGGGTATACGACATGAAAGAAGTCCAATAATTTGTCATCCCCTCCCCCTTTTTCCACTTACTACCGCGTCTCCCCTCACTCAGATCATGATAGAAATACAATTGGAAGTCTCACTTCTCACAGGGTTACCTCAGACAGACCCCTCCCCCCGACCTTCTCTCTCTCTCTCTCTCTCTCTCTCTCTCTCTCTCTCTCTCTCTCTCTCTCTCTCTCTCTCTCTCTCACTGAGATAAAAGTCTGCGTGGATGCAGATTCTAACCTAAAACGTTCATGTCAGCTAGCAACTGTCAGCTCAGTTCGCTACCTCGGCTCTCCATAGAACACTGCAGTCACATCAAAAGATACTAGCTGATCAATTATTATTGTAACATGATTCTCTTAGAAAGGATTACAGTCTCAACCTCGTGGAGTTTTTCCCGAACCTGACGTGAGGTAGCAGACTTTCTCTGCGTTACCCTTATCAAGGGGATTGAGAGGTATGTTGTAGTTTACAGTTATGCTTTAATTTCCGCGACTGTCGACCCAGCATGTCCTACTACAGCATCATTTAACTACTCGCATTTTAAATCCTTATTAATATCATGGAAAAATATCAGACCAAACGTAAAGTAGATCAGCGAGCTTCACAATGCAACAAACAAAACAAATGTGAACGTCACGAGTGGGTGAGTGGGTCTATTCTTCTCTCCTGCTCCCATTAAAAAAAACAAGGAAAAGAAGGGGAAACGGGGGAGGGGGGGGGGGGGCGGCACAAAATCCATACAGGAAAGGAACGACAGAACAATATGTAATCAAAGTTGACGATAACAATGACAAGGTAAGGAGCCAGTCATGCCACCACATACTACAGGTAAAGGGCCTTTCCCCCCGCCTTCAATGGTATTTGGCGTCCAGGACTAGACCTATATTTTACAGACCAGTCGGCACTTGGTGGTGATATGGTCAACATCACGCTGCCGCCTTTACCTCCCAGCACTTTACCTGCTACCTAATTAAAGCTGGGTCGATCTGAGAGCCAAGGTCATTTCAAAAATGTCTAGCACAATTCGGATTTCAGCCCATAATCTTTCGGATCAGCAGAGAAGAGTCTACCGCTACACCATGGCGTCTCAAATCAGGTAATATATAAACCTAATATATATGACGATCTAACACGAGAAGAACCAAAAGGGAGCGAGAGAAATTCCGTACCCGTATCAGTTTGCCCGAGCAACCGAAGTCTGGGACTCTGGTTGTCAGTCAGGAAGAGCTTGAGTCACATCTACGCAAGATGTACTCTGACAAAAAGAGGAGAGAGCCTCTCGATGACAATCCAGAGATCCTTAGCGGCCTCAAGCAGCCTGAGTCGCCGAAGGTACCATTTAAAATTATACCTCCCCTTTGGTCTGAGGTTGAGGAAGTTGTGAAAAGGGCCAGCGGCAAGTCTGCCCCAGGTCCGAATGGTGTTCCGTACGTTCTTCACAAGCGGTGCCTGAAAATCCTAAAAATGCTTCACGTCTTGTTGAGACAAGCTTGGATCCGTAAACACAAATGTCCAGAGTGGCAAAATGCGAATAGGGTCTACATTCCCAAAGAGCAGGACTCGAAGAGTCTTTCCCAATTCAGGCCCATCTCGCTGTTGAATGTCGAGGGTAAGATGTTCTTCTCAGTCATGGCTCGCCGGCTCACACAGTATCTGATGTTTAACAAGTACATAAATACGAGTGTTCAGAAAGGTGATATTTCGGGCGTTCCTGGGTGCCTTGAACACGCGACCATGATTTGGGAGGCTATCCAGAGAGCCAAGCATGAGAGAACCGAATTGCACGTGATTTGGTTGGACAGCCAACGCCTACGGAGCAGTCCCCCATAGGATACTGTGGCGAGCCCTTCAAATTGATTGAGCAATATTTCTCTAAGTTCGCTTTGCGCTTCTCTACCTCGACATTTACCACGAGATGGACTGAGCTGCAGATTGGGATAGCTATGGGGTGTACGATCTCACCAATACTGTTTGTCATGGCCATGCAGATTATGTTGGACGGGGCGGCCGGCTAAACTGAACTGAACTGAATTTCTACCCCACCAGGACATCACACAAGCGATAAACATCCGATGACACAAAGTGCCACCATGTGAATAAGGATCGCCGTGGAGAGGTCCCAGAAACCGCGTTCAGACATTTGGCCATATGTATGGCCTGCCTATATTGCGGCCTCTGGCAAAAGCCAGAGTGGGGCTTCAAATAACAAAAAATTACGTCCTAAAAAGGACGTACGGACTAGGCCTTTAAATAGGGGAACACTGGATGCCTCCATTACGTGCCTTTATGGATGACACGACTATTATAACGGGCAGCGAGGAGTCTGCCCGCACGATCCTGGGAAGATTGGACGCGGTGGTCCAATGGAGCGGATGCAGTTCAAACCGCAGAAGTCGAGGAGTCTGTCAATCCGTAAGGGTCGAGTGGCGGCAACCAGTTTTACGGTGGCAAGGAACAAGATCCCCACGATTCTGGAGGAACCGGTGAAGAGCCTCGGTCGCGTTTACGATTCGAAGTTATCTGATAGAGCGGAGGTCCGGCGAATACACGAGTCACTGGCTACAGGCCTGCTCGCGATCGAGCGGTGCAGGCTGGTCGGGAAGTTCAAGGTCTGGTGTCTCGAATTCATGTTGATTCCAAAGCTCCTCTGGTCGCTGTTGGTCTACGATGTGACGATGACAGCAGTGGAGACGATGGAGAGGAAAATCAACACAGCCTTAAGAAAGTGGATTGGTTGTCTGACAGTCGTGGCTCTGTATTGCAAGCAGACTAAGCTGGTACTCCCGTTCAAATCGATAACCGAAGAGTTTAAAGTTGGCAAAGTAAGACTCGCCATGCTCTTGCGCAAGTCTTCAGACCCAAATGTCATCGCTGTCCAGCCCGCTCACAAGACTGGGCAGAAGTGGAGAGTCCTCGATGCGATTGAATCTGCGCAGAACGCACTAAAATTGAGGGAGATAATGGGTTACACTCAAACCGACCGTCGAGGCCTAGGGCACGGGAAGGTCAATTAGTGGTCAAAGGCCTCAGCCAAAGAACGCCGAGACATGGTAATACAACAGGTGAGGGACAACGAAAACGAGGTTCGTTTCCAGAAAGCAGAATGAGGGCTAACGCTAGAGCCAGTTCTACTATCGTCCCCATACGTTTCCTCAAGGCTGGGCAGATTCAAAAAGGTAGGGTCAACCGAGACGCATTCGCTCCCTCTGTGCTAGACTCTGCGAAGGACTGGTTACTGGCGGTTGATCTGCCGGGCCATAAAAGGTACCCCGCGTTAATCCGGAAGACCGGCCTGCGACCTGACATAGTTCTCCACTCTGCGGAGAAACGGCGTCTAGAGATTTTCATCCCTTGAAAGTCTATCGTGTCCGATTTGTCTGCCAGTGATCCTCTGCCACCTGCTAACAAAGTCCAACATGTGTCCGGTAAACCAATCGTAAGCTTGTCGCTCGGTCGTCCAGGTATGCTGACTGCTCTAATTAGGCTACCGTGGCGACTTCTTATCTCACAGTACCTTCTGCAATCACCAAGTCGTCTTGTCCCTATCCGAAAGAAAAACACCATCCGGTGATTCCGTGCAGCAGGGTACCAGCCCTGAGCTTCATGAACTCAGGTGGGCCCACCTCTGAAAATGTCTAGGAGATCGTGGGCCGAAACGTTTGTCGACGAGGATAACTTCTACTGATGACTGGTAGATCCCTGCTGTACTTGCTTTCTGTGAGTTTATTCCCGATGTACATCCATGTACCAGTGCAAGTAGTAAAACATTCATATGTTACGCACGGTACGTTTAGGGTCTCCGTGACGACGTTGTTAAGCCATTTTCCTCGTATTATGAAGGACACGCGTATGTTTCAGGGACTAAATCGTTCTGGTTCACAAGTGCAATGTTTTACCGAGCACCCTGAGGATCGTCGCTAAAGCTATGGAGTTCGAGCTGTGTGAAACGCTCTCGGCAGGTGGCAAGTATGTGGATAGAGGCAGAGCTTTATGGCATAAACCCCTGTGTAATGAAATCGATCCTCCCATCTTTAACTGTGCAATTAACAAAGTATGTTAAATTCCTATCAAGGGTAGTCCTATTTAACAGGAACATCAACCGCAGGTCATACATGAAGAATGCTGTATACTGACACTGAAAACCGCGAAGGTATACCTGCTAAACTAGGTTCAAATCCAAACAACGCTGGCTTTCCTTTTAACAATGACCTTGGCTCTCAAGTCAGTCCTGTTTTAAACGGGTACCTGTTAAAGGCGGTGGGCGTTGGCGATGGGTCTATAAATTATTTCTAACACTATAAGCCAAAATGCGTTTGGGGGCGTGGAAAGGGATGCTTTACGTTACTGATGGTAATGTGACGTAGTGAATTCTCAGCACGATTCTCACCAGTTTCCCCGAGCTTTTTTAGGTCGGGTATAGTCGGATCCAGTTCCGATGTCAAAGTGCACAAAGACTTAGCACTATTGTACTGGTAAAATCTGTAAATAATAATAATAATTAAAAAAATTAATTAAAGAACAACAAATTTGATGGTTCGGCCACATGACGAGAATGCCCTCAAACCAACTGCCACAGAGAGCCACACTGGAGAAATATAATAAACCTATAGCACGAGGAAGACCACGCAAGAAATGGAGCGACATCATCAAAATCAACCTAAAAGAAATCAACACCAACTTGTACAATGCATTGGAAAAAGCGCACAAACAATTATTGCATCTCCCCCAACACCTCGCTGAGGTAAATGGTGTAAGAAAAGAAAAAGCTAATAAGCGGAGGTCCCTTTTCGGTCAGGTATATGATGATAGAGGAAGACGCAGTGGTGTAGCGGATAGACGCTCGCCTGCCTCGTGGGTTCGGGTCCTGACAGAGCCAGACATTTTTCAGAATAGACCTCGGCTCCCAGGTCGACCCAGCCTGGAGTGGGTACCAGGTGAAGTCCTGTGACGTAAAGGCGGTTGGTGTGATGCTGACTACATCACCCACCTAGTGCCGATTAGACTATAACATGTAGGTCTAGCCCTATATACCTAATACATCTGAACGCGTGGAAAAGGGTCCTTTACTTTTGTGTGTGAAACAGATGGTGGCATAGTCACTTTTATAGACTAACTGGCACTCGGTGAGTGATGGGGTCAACCTTCCACGAGCGTGGCGCCTTTACTTCTCATAATGTTTCCTGGTACCAATTTTAGACTGGGTCAACCTCTGAGCTGATATTATCATCCCTGTCTGCTCTGGACTTCAGCTTGTAACCGTCAAGGGAGCTTCAGTAGCGCCTTTCAGTTGAACGGGGTTTACCGGGTTTTGTACTTGTAGGAAGGTGGTAATCCCGTGACCTGCAATCCTGAAGCGGGCAAACTGCAACACTGAGCCAGTGTCCATGGTTTCCTAATTCAAGCTGGTGCGGAATGGAACCCAAGACTTTCAGGATGGCAGACAAGTGTATAGCCACTAAGCTACAGGGGCGCCCTCTATAATGCGTATGCGAACGACAAGACACTATCAAGGCATAAAACACAGCTAGGGTGTAGCAATTATCATTGTGACCTTTACTAAACAGTGAAGTCAAACATTCAACAATCATGTCGATTAACTTTCTGTTCAAATCATGTGCTTTCACGATAGGCGTATGCGATATGGTTTACTGTATCATACGATCACCAGAAACATGGATTAAATCATGCCCTGTCCATGCCATGTTGCTAAACTACCTGGGTATTTATGGTTTTCCTTTACTTTTTTTTTTTTTGTCATAAAGTTTGCAAGATGATGGTTAGATTTCCTTCTTATAAGATTCTGTTGTTTTTTTTTTATAGTTTCATGGTTAATCTTACCTTTTGTTTCTAGTTTAATATTGTAATTATTTTTTTTTTTTTTTTTTTTCCTCACTTATTTTCAAGTCAAGACTTCCTATCTGTTTATAGTTCTTGGCACCTGCTTTCAACTGTTTAATATTTGAGACAGTTATAATGCATTTAGTTTTAACCCTAGTGCCTTATTTTGTATAATAAGAGCGCTCACTGAATGCTACAGAGCATGCTAATTGTCGGATTTGCATCTTTTAGTCATTAATCGCAGTTACTTCAATGGCAAACGGGTTACTCAGTAATTGATCCGATCGTGTGCTATTGAACGCCACACAGAATGGATTTACCTGATCCATGTATAAAACATTGAAAAGGCTGCAGTATTGGCAAAACAAACAAAATACGTTCACATTATGCATGATCTGTTTTCTTGTGTACCTAGCTAGACGAAGGCAGTCCCATAGCAAATACTACCTTTATGGTGTAATGCGTTAAGACTTCACATATGATGAGCCACAACATTATCAGATAGGTTAGCTAATTTCCTTTCAAGCTGCCATCTTTCCCAGACAATTCTGGAAAATGGTGCCGATATATATGAGGTTTTGTGGACCCTAGAGTTATGCTAGTCGGAAATAGGCATGCAAATTACTAGGACTAAACCCACACCTCTGTCCTTGCAGGCATTATGCCACCTCGATTCTTCCAGCTAGGTTACCTGCATTCAATCTCTGCTTCCTCCCGACAAAGTCGTTCACAGTCTTCATTGGAACCACCTGGTCGTGTGATCATTACAGCGCCATTGGTCAAATCTGCAACAAAAGTCCACAGTTATGAATGTGTATTTTGATATTAATTTGACCAGATTTGTAAACTATGAACGAAGCTGCTTCCACGCCCTAAGACGTATTGGATGTATTTTTTTTTAAAGACCGTCTTCGTAATTTTGGTACTTTGGAAATTTGGTGCCAGACTCATAATTTTATTGACCGACTGGCATTGTATAGATGGTAAGGTAAATATCGCACCTATCGCCTTTATTTTCTCAGACATTTCTTAGTACCCATTTTATGCTGCGTGTACACTGGTTATAAAACTCCGCGAGAAATGGTGATATGATCAGTTCCAGATGTCGTGCCTAACTTTAAAAATCTGTAACTCAGTAAACCTGGTAATAATCTTGTCTTTGTGAAAATATTTTTTTTAAATGTAAACGGTAATTGTATCTTATTTGCGGTTACATGAAAAAACAGACACCGATTTAAAGCAAACAGTCAGCATGCTTACATGTTACTGAGTAACGGAAACTTGTCAAAATATCAAAGTGAAGCGTTTCGTAGGTGGTCATCTCCAGCATCAGCCTCACGTAAACACAGTGATTCCTTGTAGCAGGACTGGCTGTAATAATAACACCACGCATCGCTGCGCATGTGAACCGATTTCTAAGCAATCTGTAGGCTTGTGGCAATGACTGTATATCCTTTTTTTTTTTTTTTTGTCCAACAAAGATCAAAGAAATTCGCTGCTTTAAGAAAACAACAGCGTATGTGCAGTTTTAAATTATAAAATCTTAAAATCATAAGGACATGGGAAATCTAAGGCCACGTGTAAAAAGTCGTGTTAATCCGTACAGGAGTTTTCGAGATAGTTGTTAAAGCATGATGGCACAACTTTTGAAACGCCCTATAATTAAAAATTTTGTAGACCAATCGGTGGTCGGTGGTCATATAAAATCAGCAGCTTTTAATTGCCGAGATATTTCCGGCTACCCATCTTTAGATGACGGAAGATAGGGCTAGACCTATATTTTATAGACCAATCAGCACAAGATGGATGATGTGGTCAGATTCACGCCAGCCGCCTTTACTTCCCGGGACTGCACCCGGTACCCACTCAAGGCTGAGATGACCTGGGAGCCAAAATCGCAAGGGAGTGAACCCACGACCTTCCGATTCGCAGACGAGCGTCTAGCCGCTCCGACACGACCACTCCCTACTGCTCCCTGTGAAACCACTAATACGAACTGCAGTCTCAGTAAATCCAATAGTACACATTTTTTTTTTCATCTATGCTCTCCCCTTTCGGCATATGGAGTACTACTACCAAAGTTAAAATAGTATCTAGTTTTCAGCATCTCATCTCAACAGACCGTTTTTTTTTCTTCTTCATAAGACAATATTATTAACTTCTACCATTTTAGGTCGGATCGACCTGGAAACACACTGTTAGTTGAAAATGGGGGAAACTACCAAATTATTCTCCACAAGAAACTCGTCAGTTCAAGAACATGACAGACGGTATTATTAGTTAGCAATATTAACAGGAGGAGGCAAGACGGTTTACCTAAACTGTGCATGAAGACTGCAAACAAAACCATTTTCAGGATCTGTAGCTGCTTCTGACAATGCATTGTAGCTGTTTGAGCTGACGGTTTCACCTACTGTCTTGGTCATCCAGAGGCAAACAATGACTTCTGTGGGTTTTTAAAAAAATCTCAAGCAAACAAACAAAAAACTGTCTTCATATCGTCTGTTTACACAAAATTGAGATGAGACGTTCAGTGAGCACCTGTTGTTAATCGGGAATTTCCATTAGTAAAATGTGTAAATCGTTCTCTCGAGAAAAACATTATCATTCATCATCAAGTGCTAACGGTTAGTTTTTATCCGTGTCGACATCATATTATTTCGTTCCACCTATTCGTGCCCCAAAATTGTATGCAGCGGCCATCTCAGTGTCTCAATGATCACTGCATCTAGCAAGAGTTGACTGACGTATCTTCTTCCATTGCCCCACAACCGGTTTTGAGTTAAGGTAAGAACTGACATCACAGCACTTGGGGCTTTCCCATGCTTATAAGTCCGTCATGCCTTTCCTCTGAGTGTACTGAGCCGGCCAGACCCCCTTGTTAAATCAAGATGCCTCATTCTCTCCAGACCATAATAATCTTGTTTCTCTACTGATGCCATTGCTTGTTCCCAAAGGGCCTTGACCACATCTGCCTTTTCATGTATCAATTTACCACCCAGTGGTGCAGAGCTAGCCAATCTGTCTCTCTGTTCGTTACCCACCACGCCGGCATAGCTTGGAGAAAAGATCCAAAGTATGCCCACTACCCGTGACCTTTCCAGTGAAGCTTGCCACTTTGCTCGAAGCATCTTTGTCTTTATCTTTCTCAGCATGCTTTCAGAGTCTGGTACAATAACGACATGTGTATGGATCGTGTTCTCTAGCCACCAGAGAGCTGCAGTTACCGCCTCCACCTCCATTCTCATGCTAGATCTTGTAGTATCGTAAAGATTTTCCGTTGGCTTTCACTACAAGCCACCAGGCACTTCTCTTTCCTCTCAGCACCTAACCATCTTTATAGATAAACAGATCACCTGGGCGTGAATTGCCGTGAATCAACTGTTGGTTTTCCACCTCCGTGGCACCCGCTGGTCACTCTCAGCATTCCCGGCCCAATGTGACCATAACCCTGAACAGGTCAGACTTTTCCTTTGCTACTCCGAACCACTCCATTCCTCACCCAATGTTCTCCAGCATGCATATGTGTTGTATTGTGTCATTTGCTTGAGCCATCCACGATTTTCCCATTTTCAGCCTCTGACCTTTACCTGCAGCTAAGGCTTCATTCAGAGGGCATTCTTTCTCTGCATCAACTCTGAGGTATAACGTAGCACAAGGGGTGTCTGCATAATTGTCCGTTTACTACCCATTTCCAACAGGCGGTTCAGTTTCCTACAGTTCATTGTTAATTGTTCACTTTTGAGATCATATTTATCCCACGTGACCATAAGTGCTCCGATTTCCTGCTGAGTATGTCTCCATATGTTTTTAGCTATTGTAACTGATTCAGAAAGCATGCTGAGGAACATCAGAACAGGTATGCTTCGTGCAGAGTGGCATGCTTTGCTACGGAGAATACAAGTGAAGAGTATTGCCTGGATTTTTTCACCGGATAATGCCGGTGTGTTGGGAAATGAACAGGCGGACAGACTGGTACTAGAAAACAACTTGATGGAATACTGCTACATGATAGGGCAGACGTGGTTAGTGCATTGTGGGAGAGCGTGTGCAATTCGGAGGAGCAGATGGATCACCACAGTCTGGTGAGATTGATGCAGTTGGGGGTGACGATAGGTTCTGGCAGAAGCTCGAGGCTCAGAGGAAAGGCAAGACGGACGTTTAATCAGAAAGCTACTGGCACCATTAGTATCGGAACTCTTCGCTGGCTGCTAAAGATGGGGACGGAGCGCTTATGGAAATGCCCCGAGTGCTGTGATGTCGGTTCTTGAATCAAATCAAATCAAATCATGTTTTTAGGCTAAACTCTCATTCTGTTCTGGCTCCCGCGTGGTTTTCCTATCTCACGGCTCTAATGGATACACCCAGGGTATGAAGTCTATTTTGAGAAAAATCATTTTCCACGAAACCGAAAGTCTCACAGCGTTTAGTCTCTCATGTGGCATTGATGATGTCTCTCCTGTCCACAGAGCGGCCATTCCTGATAGTCACACTGCCAGCCAGAGCGTCTGCTCTTTCATTGCCTTTCACACCATCAAACCTGGGGTGGGGAGGGGGGGGGAATGAAGGTGATTTTGCGAAACGCAAGGTGCCGTATCTGATGGATTCACTGTTTCCATATATATCCCGCCTTGATCTTCTATAGAATGTTAATTGAGTCTCCGACAGTATGTCTGTCCTGTCCATACTTCTCCCTTCACTGACAACTACAGACGCGGCCAACCTGTCGACTCAGTCAATTTCCACAGCCAAAGTTCCAAAGTACAGAACTGGACGAACAACCAAGACATTCCATTGGAGTTGGTTCGTGTAACAAGGAGCACAGTGTTCTGTCAAAGAAGTATCATAAGAAATTACAGTAATATACTGAAACAGGGAGTACAAAGGACAATCTACACACTTTAAAAACTATAGATTTTACAACCTCGCACAACTCTGCAGACTCTACTGGGAATCAGTTTCTATGGTATCAATAATTACAATAGTACTAAAACCATTGTAAACTCTCCACAGAAAGTCTTTTTCGCAGACATCTTTAACCGATTTATGGCCCATGATACTCTTCTTCTACTATTATGTTCATCGGCTGTAAGCTCCGACAGAAAGTCTTCATTGTTTGCCCATTTGGACTTTGTCTTTGTTCCAGGGTCTGAGTTTTTGTGAGAACATCCATTTTACTGGCTTATTTGTGTGCAGTTGGTTGTTGTTCCTTGCCGCTCAGACAGATGCACTCCAACTACGAAGGAAGTCCCCCCAGTTAGATGCTGACATATTTTATACCTCATATCAATTTCCAGTTTCTTATGTTACTGATTAGTGTTTAGAAAGGTTTTTATCATCACAGATCTCCGAACAAATTCATAATTGCTCCGATCTCCTCAAAAGCTCCACAAGTGTAAAACGACTCTTAGTGAAATATCTATTTCTTGCAGCTCCATGCTGCACTCCCATGTCCATCAGTCTAGACAGGGATAGAGAGTCGTGTCCTTTGGCGTGCTCCTTTTATCATAGTCCAGAAAACAAAAATGACACACATTATATTATCTACAATTCTCAAAGATGATTCTCCAGCTGGTGATAAGGTTCACAATATCTTCGCCCAGTGCAAAATCTGCCTAGCTTCCTGTGACATTAAGTCTCAGCTTCTCTCCTACCCTCTTGATGATTCAAAACAGTAATTTGAAGACTTATTTCAATAATGAATAGTATATGTACATAAAAAGAAGAGGAAGATTTGAGTACACAGTAATGCTGGGTCAGTTTAAGGGGAAAATTGGCAGAGGTGATCAAGAGAAAACATGTTAGACGGTTTAGCCTCATGGCATTAAAAAACATGTGTACCAGAAATGGTAAGGATGACAAGAGACAGAAGGCTGTGGTTAGACACTGTAATCAGTGCCACATGGCATGCAGTACATGAATTCTGATATTTCTTGGGCACTGTAGAATTTTGTGCAATGACATTGTGGTTATAAAATTATCATCAGGTTTTCTAAATATGTGTCCTATCTAGTGCCAATGTTTCTTATTCACCTCTTGATTAACTGAAATTTATTTAGTTATCTACTAAATAACATTTTTTGGGGGGTCTTTGTTAACCGTCTGCGTCTGTGGCTTAGGGATTGCGAACGCGCTTTGTGAAGCCGGGGTGCCGGGTTCGATCCCAGGTGCGGGCCCTGTGCCTTGCGTTGGTTTCGACAGTGGTATTGAGAAGCTGACCGTCCAGAATGCAATGGCAAACTACTAGACGTAAGTTTGCCTAGAAAATGCTGGGCTTGATTCTGCAACGTCCTGTAAAGGATACGCAACTAACGACATGTTAACCATGTAGTGTGTAAGAGCAAAAGTCAGGGACTCTTCTCATGCAACTGGTGCATTGGGCATGTAGTGCTAGACCTTTATTTTTATAAGCAAAATGGCATTTGATGGGCATTGTGGTTAACATGTCAGCCACATTGACTTCCCGTGATATTACTTAGTCAAGCTGATTTTGAACCCTAGACCTTCGGGTCCACCAGCGATGGTCTAGCCGCTATGCTGCCGCTGCTCCATGTCTAGTCGCTCAGTTACCCAGTATGCTGTGATGTTGTGGAATCTCAAGGTATCATGACTCCTTCAGTTCATGCTCTTTTTGATTGTCCCCTACATTTTGGTGTTTCTATTTTCATGTTGTACGTTTTCACTGCTGGAATCATTGGATTCGTTCTCATTAAATGACTAAACAAGTTTTTGTTTTTCAATAAATTTTATTATAGGTGTTCCAATATTTCTTGAAATATCTTCGTTCTTACACGATCTCTTTTAGTTTTGTTCACGTCTCTTCTCTAACATCTCATTTCACAGGTGGTTAGTTTCCTTAGTGTTCTTTAGTCAACTTCCAGGTTTGACACTGATAGCAAAGGGTTGGTGTGAAGATTGCATTTATAATTTGTCTTTTTATCTCTACTGGGTTAGCTAACTGTTTCAAAATTAGATGGATATGTGACACTGTTGACTTGTTGGATTCTTGTTTCAATCGTTCTGTCTTTTCTGCCATCATGAGTAGGATGCTCCTCAAGTATTTGAAGTGTTTGTATTTGACAGGAAGAAAAATAAGAGTAAACGTGGGATGTTTAAAATAAAAAACAGGACAGGCATTAACTCCTTGAGTCCCAAGGAAAACATCATACGTTTATAGGTTCCTACCTAGAAGCCCATTAAACGCAAGATGCGCTGATTTTGTGTCTTTCTTTACTAGACTTTGGGCCTGTTTGCTAAACCCTCTGAGACTCAATGAGTTAATGGACAAAGATTCTGTAACAAGGAGATGGAATGAATACATACAATAATTTTATAATGGAGAAAGAACAGATTTAACAGCAGAAAATAACCCAGAAGGGCCAC